ACTAAATTGAGCGCCGCAGATATGAAACATTTTCGAAACTAACGTTTCTTGACACTGACGTAGATGACAGTGATCGATCCTTTCTTACGAAAAAGGCAAAGAAAAGGCTTCCGCTTTCCTTTTCGCTCCATCTTCGAGCACCGGCTCAGTTACACATGATTGGTCATGACTACACTACCGTACCTAAATTATTACAATACATGCAGACGGCCGGGAACTTAGATTGCGTTATAGCATGTTGCAACCTACTTCATCTTGCAATTCTATGCTAGTGAGAAGAGTAACACTGAGGGCAGACTAAGCGTCAGTTTACAGAAATAGTTACAGGCAGAAAGGAGGTCAGGAAAAGCCTTGCCTGCAAAAACCCCGAAAGGAAAAAATAAGGAAGGAAATCTGGGTAGGAGCCATGGCTCAAGATCTGAATAGTCCATCCTTCGAAGGCCACGCTGCTAAAACAGAAATGAAAGCACTCACTACTAAGTGCACTATGGTGAAAAAAAATTTAGTGAATAAAGAAAAAAGTCTCTTGACAAATATCTAAACAAAGCACTTAAAGAAATTGGTGCCAGCCCAGAGTCTTAACCCGCGTGACAAACCTCTCTTGGTTCTCATCATGCCCCATGATACACAGAACAGGCCTAGTCCTCTTTGCTCTCGTCCCGCAGAAATGTTTCATTTCCCACTGATCCATATTCACTCAATCGTCGGAAATTACATTAGGAATCAATTACTTAATCCTGTGCCGCTTCCAACATCACCAACCTCCTTCACTCTGCTCTTATTCGGAACGGCCGCGGTAAGAAAGCTGGTACCTAAAGCAAACTCGAGCTACCCTTGGTAGCACTGGTCTGCACTTCGTTTTAAGAAAGCTTCCGCCACCTTCTCAATCAACCAGATGCAACACTAAGGCCCCACCCACGCTTACGGTTTTTTTGTTCGAGAACACAACACTTAACGCGTATTTCTCATCATGCACATTGAAACGCCGGAAAAAATTTTTGGAAACGGAGTCTTTCGAAAATGATTTGAAAAGTTGAGGGCTTTGAAACTGCGGCATATTTTTCATAAGACAATTAAGTGAGAAAATTTCAGTGTACGAAAAATACGCTACGTACTGTTGGTTCCACCTGTGTTCTCTGCAGTTTTGGTTTGGACAATCGCCGAAAATTGATTGAAATGAATGGGTTTTCAAATGAGAAGGCAGTGGTATGGACAGTTAAGAGCAATATGAAAACGCTATCTAAGGTGAAAACATTTTTGCTTCAATTTGCTTGAGACGAAAACAGACACTTATGAAAACGTAAGCCCTAATACTAATTGCAACGGGAGGGAGGGGGGGTGTGGAGGACTTTTGGGGGAATCACGTGGTTGTAAAGGAGGGGGGAAAGGGGAAACAGTCGTCGCCAAGAGATCGAGTAAAAAGTGGGGACTATAGAAAATCAACTGCCAACGAGGAGGGGATCAAAAAAGATGTAACACAACCAAAATGCTCCAACCCAACCCCCTCCCCCCGATCAGTCCCTTCGCCACCCGGGGTTTTCCTGGGCCTTAGGTCATTTCCTTATCAGTTACTTTGAGTTCTGGTTTCATCCTTAGTCAAATTTACTTTGGTTATGACTAGTGGTTTATGCTCTTTTGCTTTGATTTTCATGTTGGTCATCAAGGGCTTTCTCACTAGTTTTTGAAGCAAGTGGACAAAGATTTCTTGAAGAGTAATGACATGGTTTGCTTGCAAATTCTGGATGGAGGAGTGCTACCAACTTCATAAGTTTGTTTGATAAAAGATACAATAAATTAGACAAATAGCTGGAATACTCATAACGGTACGATTACTATAATATGTTTAATTAACTAAAAAAATGAAAACATCTGAACACAACATAAGGAGATTCACCTCTACAATGTCTGATTTGGCTAATTACAGTAAGATTAATACAGTAAGCTATCCTATATAAAGGTGTAGTCTGATGCAAAATTCGACTTATTGATATAAAATAAGGCACGAAAAAGAGAGCAATACTTTATAATGCATTCCAGTAGTATAGATAGTATGTATGTACAGCCAGCAAATCTTTAAACCGTGAGTTTATTTCTGTTTTTTTCCTCCACCCTTCTTCTTGGCTGGTTTTTTTCCTGCTGCAGGTTTCACCATCTTCAATGGCTTGGACTGCTTGCTGACTGCCACTTGGGTGAGCTCTTGCTCAATATTTGCTTTGATGGTTACCTCAAGAGCCTGGTAATTTAAATGAGAGATAAAACCTTTCTTAGAGACTTATTACAGATTGTCTATGTGAATGAAAACTGACCTTCTCATGAGTTCTGAATTTTTGGGAGGATGGCCATTTTGGAAACAACCACACATAGGAGGTCTGGGATGAACTGCTAAAGGGTCTGGTATTAGCAGCCAATACAAAAGTAAAGTAGACTGCAATCACTTGCCGACAATAGCAAAAGTCCTCTTCCTTTTCTATCATCTAAGCAAGGTTCTGAAAAACTCTTATCTCCAGACCCTCTGTGAAACTTGTTGCAAACCTTGTACTGGAGTGGTTTTCAAAATGGCTAACACAAAACAACCACAGAACTGAAGGTTGATAAGTTCACCTGGTGAGACCTCCCTGTGGTTTAACCTTTCCTTCTCCATAACTCAAAGAAAATCCTCATAACTACCTCTCATACTTTTCTTACTAAGTTTGTTCAGAGAATCTGGTTTTTGGATTCAATAGTATTCTCCTAGTGAATATCTTTTACTACTCTCATCACTTGGCTGCTTGATATTGTATTCTTATTGTAAGGAGAAATTCTGTCTTGGTCACTCTTGGGAATGAAAGGGTTCAGAATCATTTAACCATTTGCACCATAACATCAGTATGCACATTCTCCTTACTGTTCTTTATACAATCTCTAAGGTGCTGACAAGGAGAATTTGTTTCATAATCCTAAGCTTCTCTAGTTTTACGCTGTCAGCATTCTAGATAGACCCTCCAAAATTAAGTTAGGGAAAAGATCTTTAACATGCTACAAAGTTGACACTATGATGGATGATATGCAACATTCAAGCTCACCTAAATCTTATTTTCAGGATTTGGTTGCCAAAGTGAAAAATTTAGTCACATTAGCGCCTGTGTTAGGTGCAATTCCATGCCCTGATTAGGTCAAGCCAAGTCTCCACAGCCCCCAAATTTTTTCCAAACACTGACTACATTGTTAATGAAAATGGGCCTTAACACCTAGATGAACCATTTTTGGAATTAAGGTTCCTGGCTACTTCTACATACACTTCAAACCAACTCTTTCCCTACAAGTGATTACAGACCATGAAATTTTTCAGTGAAAAATAAATTTCTCACTGTACAACCTGATTAAAGCATAGGCCATGGGAATAAAGTGGGTAAGTTTTTAAAGAAACAATGATGCTGCATCAGTGGGGGAGTACAACAAGATAATTTGGTTTTATCAACTGAATTGAGAATGTAAATTGGCCTCTGTAAAGATTTTCTAAGCTGATGTTTCAAGCGTTAGCCCTGTTTCAGTGCCATGTGGACTGTTTATTGAAGCCACAATGCAGCCCTTGATATGGTATGCATTTAAAAAGAAAAACATATTCATATCAGAAACCCCTATAAGCAGACATCCTTGCCACCAGAGGAAAATATGCTCAAGTGAACTGTTTACTTAAAGGAAGTTTGTTTAAAATAAAAGGGTTCTCAAGTGGTTTAGGATCTGGATCACTTTTTTCTTACTTCCAATACAATAATTTAAAATTTCACAGCAGTTCATTACAACTACCACTCTACATCTGACATTAACAACAATGCTATTGCACGGGTAGCCATGCCGCATCCAATCCAATCAACAACTCCACAAATTCAAGCATTGGTTGAGGTTATTCACAGTATTTTAAATTAACAAAAGTTTGATGGTTTTAGGTTCCACAGATATTTATCGTTTGTGATTATAATTGCGTAGATTTTTCGTTGCCAAAAAGCGTGCAGATAAGAAATTTTGTCGCTAAACATACCTAAATTTTGCTTTTGAATTGAAGTTTCTTAACGGGCTGTAATTATTAAATTTTTATAAGCAAGAAAAACGCGTTTTCTTCGTTTCAAAAAAAATCTTCATTATATTTATATCAGGCAAAGTAAATGTAATTTTAACATCACAAAACATCGTGGATTCGATTTTGTGACAAATACGCCAGTTCTTACACGGATAAAATAACGAATTTATCAGAAGAAAAATCAACAAGCTCTCAATCCGATAAACTCGGCAATGAGCGTCATATAAAGCTGGGTGTGTGCTAAATAGTAATTACACTACAGCAAAAGAAAGAGTTGAATGTATAAAATGTCGGTGAATAATATAACCTACACAAGAACCAGTTTACAAAATTACCTTCTTTACTTTCTCCGCTTTGACAGTCGTCTTCTTCTTGGGAGCAATAGTTCTTGCTGACAAATCAAAAGAAAAACAGAATAACGTATCTGAGATTTTGTTCGAATTCTATTCTGCATGCGACGCAAAAACCTGAAATGTGTTCTCAAAAAGATATATGTTAAGGGTGCGATCAAAAGACATGAAAGTTCCTCTAAGAACAGCCTTTGATATCATTCTAAATATTTTCTTTAAATAAAGTACACAAATAAATCAACTTTATTTTTTCTTGATTTGAAAAGCGCGCACAACAACAGCGTAGCAGTTACAGACGTTCGATAGTGTTACTTCCGTCACAACACTTTCAAATTAGTACTCTATCTTCGTCCATGCCACAAATATTTTAAACTTACCTCCCTTCTTCGGACCAAGAGCCTTTTTCTGGTGTTTTTTCGTCGCTGTGGCCTTCTTAATTTTCCCCTTTCCTTGCGCCATGATTCTAATGTTTCAACCGTCGAACCGCCTCGAAGAACCGCCGATTACTAACGCTCCTTGTTTACTATTGAGCCTGCGAGTTACGCGTCTATGGTCAGTGGCTCCAGACTCGGCCCAGTCTGTTACTACTTTTGTTGGTCAACTTCGCGCGAATTTAATTGAGAGGCGGTCAGTAGATCTTCTCAGAGTTTCTCTACCAAATGCATGGAAAAGGGTTGTGGATAACTTTCTCTTAATGCAGCGAGAGCTTTGTACGTTCCCTCTGGCTTCAAATTATCTGCATAAATTGTCAAATGCAGGCTATATCACCGTTGATGACCTGAAAGATGTGACGCCAACTGAATTAAGTGAAGGCAAGTCCTTGGTTAGATTGTTCACTTTATTTCCACTTGTGCTTTTTGACCAACCAGCCTATGCTTCTTTGTTGTCTCGTGACTGTTCAGCAAACTTCTCGCTTTCAAACATGCAAATCAAACATGAAGATGACAAAAGAGCTCGAGTGGATGGGGTGTGGGTTGTTTTGAGAACAAAAAGTTGGAGATCTTAAAAGGGAGCAGGGTAACAAGACGGGGAATTGTATGTGTGAGCTGCATGATAAATTGTAATCAAATATTTGTGAATTGATTCAATCTTGACCCTTTGACTCCCAAGATCTGATTGTTAATTCTCAACTCAAGCTGTTACACCTGCATATCTGGTAAAATTAGTTACAGAGTTAAGAGAACAGGAAATGAGAATATTCAAACTTATCCAGAAGAATTTTTTTATCTTGCTCTAATACCAAATTCTTGTACCTGATTTACAAAGAAGAAGGGAGAATAAACCATTAATTTTTGGAGTCAAACGGTTGAAAGTACTGAAGAGAGTAAGGTGTTATACCAAATTGACACTCTTTAGCTGTTTTTTTTTGCCTGTTTTCTGAGTTTGTTTTGAGGATAGGTAGATGTGTTTCTTATCTGGCACTGTTTAGAAAAAAAGTCTGCTTCTCATTGATTATTAGATCTGGGAATTGATAAAGAAGAATCTCTTAAGATAGTTCAGACTGTGCGAAGCAGTAAAGACTCCTCACAATCCTGGAACAAGAAGCCAACCGTCAGTGGGAAACATTCATCAAGTTCCATCCCAGGAAGTACAAATGCCTTTGACCTTTTGCAACAAGAGCAGTCTGCTGGTAGTATTGTCACTTTCTGTGAAAAGTTTGATGACATGTTGGGTGGAGGAGTACCAGTTGGTAAAATCACAGAGTTCTGTGGAGCACCTGGCATTGGAAAAACTCAGATAGGGTATGAACCTAATATTACAGTAATGTTTAAGTTACAATTAAGTTCTTATGGACTAATAATGTTACAGTATAATTTAACAGACAGAAAGAACACTACAGTCCTACAGGCTTTGGATCAATACCTGTGGGATATCATAAAACCTGCACTGAGGACTGAAAAGCAACATCACCGTCAAAAAAACCATAACTCCTTGAATCACCACTTCCATTTCAATAAAAGCTCCTGTTAAATGTGTGACCCTTGTTATAATTTTTTTTAACATAATAAGCATCAGTAAACTGCCGGAGGTAAGCATGCAATGGACTAGGATCCCTGACCCTGGAGAGGTAAAAACACTCCCAGTCACTTTACGCCATGAAAACAAACCGGAATAAGCTCAGGCAGTGAGAGATGACTCACACTTAATTCATTTTCTTCCGCTTTCTCGTACTTGTAAATCCTTTAAATTTGTTGTGATTGCCTCTCTTCATTTCACCTTATTTGGAGCCAATTGATATGTTTGTATTTCTGGTGATTTCATGTTTTTTGTATGGACTATTGACCAACAGGATTTAGTTAAATCCTTTTTCCAAACTATCAAATGGTTTTAACATTTTTTTTTTTCAGAATGCAGCTAGCTGTAGATGTTCAGATACCTGATGAGTTTGGTGGACTCAATGGAGAAGCCATTTATATTGGTACAATCATATTACTTTTTATGTTTCAGAGGCATCATTTTTTCTAGTGTCCTCAGCTTTTTTATTAATATTTTCTTGCAACATTTCAGACACTGAGGGAAGTTTTATTGTTGAGAGAGTGTTAGACATAGCAACTGCTGCCATAAGGCATATAACAAATGTAGTCCAGTCTTCTGATGCTGATGAAACAGGTACTGAGGCATTACATTTTCTGTGAAACTGTTTCCTTTTTGACTGACGTGGGATGATATATAAGTCTTACAGGCCTTGATACCCAGTTCTTAGCAAAAGCTTATCTTAGATTTCTCACCAGTAACCCTTTGCATTCTAACATCAGTATGCATATTCTCTATACTGTTCTCTATTCATTTCCTAATGTGCTGACAAGGAGAATTTGTTTAGGAATGAAGATTTGCTATAGTTGGTGAACATTTCCTTTATTCTTGTGACCTTTACATGTGATTCAGGGGTAATACTATAAGGAGTGTTACACTACTCTTGTTGGACAGGATGCTTCTCCAATTGCAGCTATCCCTGAGCTTTCTTACAAATGTTTGCCCAAGAACACAACAGAGAGAGTGACCCTGACAAAGGCTAGAACCCAAACTTCTATTTCTCATGTCTAGTGCAAAAACTAAGATAGAAGCAGCCACATCTCATTGTATATGATTATGAGAGTAGCTGAGCATGTAAGGGACCCAAAGTGAATCTCAAGGTCTTATTTTAAATTACTCAACTAGTGTCTCTTCCTACCAAGAAATAAAAACTTCCTTCTCTTCAATACCCATGTCTGACAAAGTTGTGAAGCTGACAATCAAAGTTATTGGACAAAGAGACCTTTGCAACTTGGATAGTTCCTGAGAGGATCTTTATGCAGATTAAAATAAAACAGGAGTGTTTTGTTTATTAATTTTCATCTCTGTCTTTTCATTACTGTTGCTGACCAGAGAGGGGTCTTCTAAATGAAGCCCTAAAAAAGTTTCACATGGAAAGCATCTTGTCAAGGATCTATGTGTTCAGATGCCATGACTACATGCAACTAATAGCATTGTCCCATGTTTTACCAGACTTCCTGGAAGAACATCCCAAGGTAACTTAACTCAAGGAAATTCAACCAAAGGGTGAATCAATAAGAAACCAAAATATGAATTGCATTAAAGGGTGAAACAACACAGGCAACTTTGGACTTGGGGTAAGGTTATTACCAAAAAAAGGGGGGGAGGTGTGTGCCAAGACCCTCGATAGAAGGCAAGAACTAAAGTGACCTATGCCAGACTTTCATGCTAAATGCTCACAAATGAATCAATGTCTCTCTCATAATTTGCACAAATTGTGTAGTAATTGTTGAAGTCTGATGGAGAGCAGTTTCTATGAGGGAATGACTTTTTTAGCACAGATTTCCCTATTCTATACTGATGGACATAATGAAGACAAAATAATGTTTCTAAAATTTCTGAATCTGAAGGTTGTAAATTTTTTTTGGAGAGAAATGTTTTTAATATTTTTGAATCTAAAAGTTGCAACACTACTCCTCCTCTCTGCTCCCCCCCCCTTCCCTCCACCTCCCAAGGGTGGTATACTCTTAAATGTGGCCAGAGTTAGCAGAGGGTACTGATGTGGCCTAAAAAAAGAACCTTTGAGGGTATACAATATTTGCCACAACTTATGGGAATTCATCAAAGTGGTGTAATTACCCCCCTCCTTGCACAATTTTTTTTTTTTTTTTTTACATTGTAAAGTTCTTTGTTGTTTTGTTTGTTTTTTTTCTAATTTCAGGTGAAGCTGATTGTGGTGGATAGTATTGCATTTCACTTCCGTCATGACTTTGATGATCTTGCTTTGAGAGCAAGACTGCTGAATGGCTTGGCACAGAGCTTTATAAAAATGGCGTGTGAACGGCAGCTAGCTGTAAGTAAAAAACTTGAAGCATAGAGAAATTCTTAATTGAGTGTTGACATTTACACATATATTTTGTCATTGATACGTCATTACTTTGCTCTGTGATTAGTCTGGAAAAACTTGCGCCACTTTCTCTCAACCAATCAAATGGACCAAATCATTGGTTTCTTTTGATACTTTGCTTTTTTCTGATTGGCCATTGGGAATAATTTTGATCTGGTTTTACAACAGTTGCTAGAACTGCACATTAAACAGTCAAGTAACTGGCTTTCAACACAAGAAAAAAACTTTTTCTCGAATAATAGTTCAAGATCTCATTGTTGTTTGTTTTTATTTGTTTGTTACTTGTTTAATTTGTATTTCAGCAGATGTAATTTTTTTGCCAAGCTTGCTTGTATTAGGTGGACAGCCAGTATTATGACTTGTAAGTTATACCCCAAGGCGCCAATGTTTTTGGCTTTTTTCACGCCCCTCACAGGTAGTTTTCATGAATCAGATGACTACTCGTGTCAAAACCACCCAGCTGGGCCAGTCACATCTGATACCCGCATTAGGTGAGTTGCCTTTCAACGGTAGAACAGCAAGCTCCCTGTTTGGTATAAATCAAACTAGAGTTGTTAATTTGTTTTTTTGTTGATTGCAGGTGAAAGCTGGGGTCACGCCAGCACGATTCGTGTGGTGTTGTACTGGGAAGATAACCAGAGGTACCGACTACTGCGTCACGAACTGTATAGTATTAAGTAGAATATAGTTTTTTACTAATTTTTTAAAGTCTCATAACTGCACACAGTAGAAGGGGCTGCAAAGTGAGTTACTGCAGAATGCTAACCACTTCTGGAACCTTTCATCACAGATTTTTCTCGTGAAATTGAGGGTTTTGATGCGCTTTTTTCTCACTCAAGGTTTGCCAACTTGTACAAGTCGCCTTCACGACAGGAGATGATAATTCCTTTTCAAATTACGGTAAAACTGTCAACTTAAGCTTTGCTTATCATGTTTCTGTTGGCCTTTTAACTCCCACGATCAGATTCTGACATCTACACATTTCCTTGTGAATAAGTTACGGTAATTTGGTGTTACATCAAACGAGCAACTTCTACCTGATAAGTCGGAGTGTCATCACCTGTGTTGATGAATGTATGGAAAATGAAGGTAAAAGTTGCATGTTAGTCTCTTCTGAGAGTAATAGTGTACATGAAAAAATTAGGTGCTTCAGATTGGCTGAAAACGAGTACATTCTCATGTATCACAAGACCAAAGTTGTAATACGAGTGCAAATTACAAATAGTGCACGCGCGCTTTTAAAATTTCGTCTGTCTCGACTTTCGGCGATTTTTGTAATGTACATTATAACAAGTAATAACATGATTCAATTTGGTGGGATAAGCACTTGTAAATGTTTCAAAGACTAAGGACTCGTGCAATTTTTTTGTCTTTGAAAATTTACCCGTGCTTATTTACAACAAAGTGCACTCGAAATCATGTTGTTACCTATACTTGATGAGTAAATTATATTAGCGCAAAAGTCATTCTTGATTAATGCCCCTTTCCATGATTACCCTTTTTCGTGTTTTTCTACAAAAAAAAAGAAAACGAGTCTAGCTCATTATGTGAGGGAGACACTTGCAGTTTTCAGAAGTTTTTTTTTTTTCACTCCGTTCTCTCTTTCTACCTTTTATCAACTCGTTTGGAAATATATACTAGTGCTGTTAATGCAACTGTGGGGAGATTCAATTCATATTTGGTTTGAGCGTTTTTCGATTGATTTTCATAAAACCAAACCCAAAGTAATCGCAATGGCCAATCAGGAGAAAGGAAAAAACTTTTAAGAGCCAATGAGAACTTTACTCAAAGTAAAAACAAACCAAACTCCCTAAAGCGCGGGAAAACGCAGGCGACCAAGCCGCGATTGGTTTTTAGTTTTGCATCTGATTGGTTGAGAGAGTGAGTTTTCTCCACCAAACACAGAGCGAAGTAAAGCAATGCAATCTAGGACTACTTGTTCTTTATGCGGTAGTCTTTCGAAGAGTGTGCTGGAATGGATGGAAACTGGAATCAAGAGAAACCATCCCAATATATCTACTTTCCCTCAAGAATAGCTAGGCTAGGGTCCTGTTGAAAGAATTTCATGCACGTTATGCTCTCCTTCATTTGATTTTAGGCTGACGGAGTGCGTGACTGTTTCACCAATACGCTCCAACAGAGTCACAAGGACAGTAAAGAAGCCCAGTCAGACCAGCATAGTGTAACATATGAAGGAGAAGAAATTGCAAGTTCTGTTGCTAAGAAAAGACGCCTGAACGAAGTGACTTGAGAATAAAACGATATGGTTTTATGAAAAATTGATCCTCGTAAATAAAAAAAGAAATACATCCTATTTTGCTATTTATTGATCTAAGACGTGCAACGGCTTCTGTCTTACTTTCTGCGATAAGTTGGCCAGTAAACTTCCATGTTAACCAAGGCAGAATTTCTCCTTACAATATCGATACAATATTACACATATTACGGGGAATTGAGTACTTGATCTAATGCCAAATTCTCCAAATTAACATTATAAGAATTTTATGAGAGAGAATGTGGAGAATTACTAAATAATAAGATTTTGGGAGTGAAAGGGTCAACGTTTTGTTTGCGCTCTCTTCTTTATTGTGGATGAAACAATCTGTAAAGTACGATTTACATTAGTTATTTGTCCAGTGGAAATTTGGGTGAGAGATGACCAGCATCTCTTAAAATGTTAGTAAAATACAACTCTCTGCTAGTATATCAAAAAGATAAGCAACGAATTTTTGGGAACACGAAAATAACCCTTCCAATATTAAAAAAAAAAAAAACGTGGTCTTCGTGGAAGGGACAAATAAAGTCATCTACCAGGGTAATCCAGCCTAAAATCCTTCAGGAATTCAACCCAAGGCAAATACCTACAATACCTTGCCAACTAAATTCGCGCTTCCCTAATGGCGCATATGCACACCACTCATAGTTAAATAAGTAAATGAGTTGTTTTTTCTCTCTTTTGTACCTTGACCCTTTTCGGTCTAATGTCGGTGTTCAGATTCTCCACACGGTTCTCAGAACATTTCCTATGGTGCTAACACGGAGAATTTGTTTGACAGTCCACAGCGCTGCCGATCATTTTCTTTATTCATTTGGCCTTGATTTTTGATACAGCGGCGAAACTGTAGAAGAAATCTGATGCGTGACACCCTTAGGGGCTAACGGAGGCTTTAGTTCAAAACGTAGTTGTCAAAGATGCGTTACAGTTTTAGTCTCCGCGTTTGCGTGACGACCGTTTCGTACACTTTAAGAAGTCTTTGCGTTGCCTTTCAAAGGCAATCAAGCTTACTTAAGAATTGTCACAGATCAGAGTATGTGAAGAGGTAAAGTTATCGCCGGAACCATATTATTTTCCATTGATGAAACTGGTTTTTCAAAAATCTTACAAATAAAGTATGCATATCGGTGGGATGACGTAATTAGCACATGACGAGGCAATTTGCGTAGCAATTCCAATCACACCGGCATTACGTAACTTCCATTTCGGCGGAAACTTCCCTTCGGACTTAGAAATGGCTTTCTCGTGTTCACAACTAAAAACAAAAGCCTCTGCCTGTGCTCCTACTGAATCAGGAAACAAATTGACCTTTGGAGTGTCGGTAACGTTCATGCGCCCTTCGGAAATCACGGGACCGAAATTGACCTGAATAGTCCTTATCGGTACATATCAGTTTACCTTTGGTTGCAATGTTGCTTGAACTACCTGTCTTTTGCAGTACAAACTAAGGTAAAATACAGCAGTTTGCAAGCGGTTCTTCGTCCCTCGTACGATAACTTTCTCATTTGACGGCGGATATAGTACCATCGGTCACGTAATTAGAAACATGGCAAACGGGGAATTTGCTTCAAAGGGAGCTTGTTGTGTTGTTGGTTGTAAGAAAATTGCTTTCCTTCTAACTTTTGGAATTTTGCTCGTGATAGCAGGAGTAACTCTATATTTTGAGATGGATCGCTATATTCAGAATAAGATAAACGATAATTTAGTGCTCAAACCAGGTTCAAGTGTTACCAAGGAATGGATAAATCCTTCAGTGCCAATATACCTACAATTCTATATTTTTGACATATCGAATCCAATGGAGGCGAAGCAAGGAAAGCGACCGTACCTTGTTCAGAAAGGTCCGTACTCATACCGAGAGCACAGGCCGAAACAGAACGTAACATGGAATTCAAATACAGAAACGGTGACGTACAATGAGAAAATGTCGTTCGTCTTCGATGCAGAAACATCTTGTGATACTTGTGATCCCTTTACTGATATCGTAACTACAGTAAATATTCCATTAGTTACATTGGCGGAAGCAGCTGGTAAATTACCAAAGATTGCGCGAGACGCTATATCACTTATCTTTGATGGTTTTCAGGAGAAACTGTATACAAAAAGGCGCGTCCAAGATTTACTTTGGGGTTACCCTGATCCAATATTCAAGGAGTACAATGATTTAAGAGACGATCTTCCAAAGTTTTTGCAGGAATATCTTCCTGAGGTACCTTTCATAATAGCCCTTCAACAGAATAACACTTATGACGGTGTGACCAGTGTATTTACTGGCAAGACTGATATCAGCATGTTGGTGCACTGGATGGATTGGAAAGGTATGACAAAGCTCCAGGTTTGGAAAACCAGGTATGCAAACATGATAAATGGAACAGATGGCTCTCAATTTGCTCCAGGAATAAGCAAAGATGATACACTGTATGTGTTTGTTACACAACTGTGTCGTTCGCTGTACTTTACTCATGAAACAGAGAGTGATGTCCATGGTATTGAGGCCCTTCAATTTACTGTCCCTTCAAAGGCCTTTTTGAATGCCACTGCAAATCCAGACAATGAAGGGTTTTGCACAAAAAAATGTTACCCATCTGGTATTTTGGATATTGGTGTATGTCAGCCACCCTCCCCTATAGCAATACCCCTTTTTATTTCAGCACCACATTTCTACTTGGGGGACAAATCCCTTCTCAAGCCACTAGAAGGTCTTTCTCCAAATAAAGCGGATCATGGCACTTTTCTTAACATAGAACCTCACATAGGAATATCATTGTGGAGCAGCAAGCGACTTCAAATCAATGTGAAAGTTGAACCTGTGGATGGCATTTCTCAGACATCTGGAATCCCAAGCATGTTTTTTCCTGTCTTGTATATAAATGAGACAGCAACTATTGACAGTGCAACAGCTGAGAAGCTGAAGAGTCAGGTGCTATCCAAGTTCACTCTAGTTCATGCCATTGAGCTGGGTGTGGTTTCATTGGGAGGTCTGCTTATCATCATTGCTTTCATTTTGTTCATTGTTCGTACTTTACATTTACGAAAAATGAGGAGGCGAATGCTTATAGGTTTAATCAACCGTGGTTCTGAAACAAGTCCTCTTTTGTCGTAATTACTATTATTATGAGATGAAGGATTTGTGGCACTGCTTCAACAGCAGTAAGGATGACAAATGTTAAGCAGTAAAAATAACTTTGATGTTGCTAGTGACAAGTTGTAAACAGTTCTTGAGAAATTGTTGCGTTTCAACTAATCATTTGCAACTCTCTTTTTCATTAGTAAAGTAATTAAATTGTAAAGTCAGTTATCTTCCCTGATTTGGTTTTGGGAAAATTCTGTAGGTTTGTTAGGAGACTCTCCAAGGCATTCTTAATGTCCAGTTCTCTTTTAAAGGAGATGTGAATTAGGGAAGGAGGCAAAGTCCTGCAAAGCAGAGAATATTTTAGAAAGTGAATCTGAAGGATTGATAAAATTAATCAAAATTGTAATTCGTCAAAAGGTTTGGATAAATACTTATTAGTATAATAAGAACTGTCATCATGTTTCAGTGTTTGGTTAGGGAAACACTCATAGTTACCATTACATTCAGCTTTTTTAGAACTAATAAGCATTTTGTATGAAGAATGAAATGGAGATTTTTTATATGAAGAGATATATTTTTATAATCTCAGTGATACATGGAAAAATTTAATTGAAAAATTAGTTAAGAGAATATGGTTTTTTATTATCTAACTACACAAAGAAGAGAACAAACAATGTGCAAATAGAGCACAGAAATCTTGTGATATTTTACAGAAAGTTATTTTGTACTGTAAAAAAAACCTGTTGAAGTGCTCAGCTGTGTGCCCAAGGCTTTTTATCTTCATTGTATTTCCCACCTTGTGAGAAATAAGCAGCAACACTTGGCAGGAAAATAGGGGTTGGATGATAAATAACTTATCAGACTTTTTGGTGTGAAGTATTGCTTAATATTTTTACTCAATGTTTGTATTTTGATTGGCCCCATGGGCTTGTCAAAATACGGCACAACTTGTAAAAATACTCAGCAATACTACAAACCAAAACATCTTATAAGATATACATATCAAGGTAACACCCTCTTGCAGATAAGTTGTCAATAATTTCTCATTATTTCTTCAGCTGGATAAAGTATGAAATTGTGAGGAGAAGCTACCTGATGATCATTTATGGAACAGAAAGGGTGTAGGGAAACCTCCTCAGGTGGAACAAAATTGGCATTAAATTGTCAAAAATAATATTTTAACTGTAAGTTAAATTTTTGGTCATAAACGGGAACAAAGTGTGAGAAAAAATTGTAACAGATATCAGCTGTTTTCTAACTAGAATTCTCTGTGTGTGCACCATGTTAAATTTTATAACATGTCACAGTAGCTGCTATTGTCGGCATGACCCCCTAGGAACTCATGCAGACCAAAAAATTAAGCTATCTCGTGATGATAATAGTGGAAACTGTTTTAACGTCATACAAACCAGAATGGGGCTTCCCAACAAATTCAGGCTTTAATGTTGCTTGTATTAATATGTGTTTAGTTTTTATACATTCTCATTCTCGGTTCTCATTTCCAATTTTTCCAAACTAATCTTTTTAACACAAGACGTTTTTGTCATTTTAACAGCAATTTATTCAATTTTCTACCTTTGGAGGTTCCCATCAATACGTTTTAAAACTTTAAATGTTTGTTTGCTCATATCCATTAGTGAATCAGTTAGGATGAATTGAAATAAATACTTTTGCAAGTAAAACTTTGGAAGTCAGCAATCTCTCTTTGTTAATCTTTTTTTTCTATGGGTTGTTGGTGACCTTGTTGTCAGTGTCAGTGTCAGTGTCAAATTCTTCAAACTAGCATCACAAGAACCAAGTGGCAGACAGTAAGAAGAATTACTTAGGAGATCTTGGGAGTTGAAGGGTTCAACATTTTCAAAAAGGATCAGATAAGACAAGAGCAAGATACTTTAGCCAGGAGTAATAGAGTAATACAGTTGCACTGTACATTTTTAACTGAAATCTTTCTCTGAGTTGTAGTAAAATTGGAATGAATTTTAACCGAAGTGGCACAGATTTTTTTCACGGGGGGCTGGGGAGGGAGTTGGAGTAAGGTTGTAAAAGACAAATTGCTTGCATCTGTAGTGTCTGAAAGTTTTGTCCTCAGCATCATGTTTCTTTTTCATACTGACTAGATTTTTCCCAGCTCATTCACTTCTGTAATTTCGTTGATTTTATGGTTATCAATAACTCGACAACGTATTCCGTGTCCCGAACACCCTAGGGACCTATGCAGGGAAGCTGTCTCAGAAGTAATGACGCAGTTAAAACGCAAATTGCATTGTGGGAAATCAACATGTCGGTTCACATCTCGTGAGTTGGTACTTATAAGTAATTTCCGCCGGTCGACAATGTGGAAGTAAGAAAGTTATCAAGTGTACAGGCAATGGCTATGCAAACTGCTGTTGTCTATGGCCGTTTGATTGCTTCACATGCCAGGCAATTTGTGGCACCGCTTCTGAAACGACAGAGCTCTTCGAAGCTTCAACTCATCACCGCGAGTTGTGGGTTTTCAAAAGATCTTGCCCCGGGAAAAAGCAAATTCTTATACGGAGAAGATGCCTTCTTTATCGCCAATAATAGTGCCTCTGACGTGCTAGGTAAGATCTGTTTCTAAACAAATCGCGATCGTTTTGTCTATGGATGGCAAAAATGTGTACATGTTGAACTAAATCTGGCTTATGTAACACACAAATTGTCTGTAAACAAAGGCACGAGAAATTATAAAAAAATGGTATCAGACGAAAACTAAAGCACTTGAGACCTTTTAGCTGAAAAAAATTTCGGCTCTAATGCAAGTCGTTTGGAAGAATTTAGTGAAAATGCAATATTTTGTGGTATTTTACCAAAGTTGGTGTCTGTGGTAATTGGGTTCGTTTCGGAGTAAAAAACAAATACATGTGCTCATACTGTGAGCCTGATTTCCTGTCGGACCTGTTGTTGTAATAGAGATTTCTTTCGCTTACTTTGGCACAAATGATTGTAGTCTAACAAGCGAAATTAGGAGTTGCAATTTTCTAAAATGCTGACATTTTGTCCGACCAATACAGTACGACAGAGACTCCTTTATTAAGTACTTCTCTGGTCTGGCTTAGTATTTTTTGTATAATTCATTCTCTTTTCCGAAATTTAATTAAAGGTGCTTGCTATGCATTTCCTTTATTAAACAAAAGATGGGATTTTGATCGGCAGTGTTTAAGGTTTTTTCACTTAAAGCTGAGAAATTTCGGGCAAAAATGCGACTTTTCTGCCTTGAACCTCCACAGAAATTGTCCATTAGTACGAGCACAGTATTGTTCTTATTGTTAATTCAATACTGGTCCGCTTTCATGTTGACAATTTAATTCGTAATTGCTTCTTTCTGTTTCGTGCGAAGTTCTCTGTTTTCACAACAGTCATGATATTCTTTTGTCAATTCACAAATTTATCAATGTTTGTTTGAAATTCTTCATTATCAACTGAGGACAGCTTTTATTTCTACCACAAAAACTGACTCTCCTTGGCTTAATATAAGGACTTATGGTACTTCTTGATATTGACATAGTATGATTGACTGCGTACCTGAGGTTTTGTTTCAGCCCATTTGTGTTAATTACAGTTCACTCTTTTAATATTTTCCTTTATTTTGATTGGATTGAATTATTACTTGTTATGAAGAGCTGGCAGTGGTACTTAAGGCTATTTCTGTTCTGCAAATAGCGTTTGATATCAATATTTCAGTTGGTCAAAGCATACTTTCAGTAGCACTTGACTAACAAATCAAATATTGGTGCATGTTTTTTTGATGAGTTAGTGGAACTAACTATTTTGGAAGAGCAAATATCCTTTTGTATATTGGCTCTCTACTGTTTAAGCATAGTTTCATTCTCTTTTGACTTAAAGTTCTTGCATGTGGCAATTCTGTTGGCTGCAAAGACTTAGAAGGGATCATTAGGCAACACTGTGATGCATTCAAGATTTATGTATAATTAGTCATAGTCCTATTGATGTGAGATATTGATGCTGTGCAGTAAATCAGGGCAGACAAAGCAAGAGACTCAAGTTTGTTTTTTTTGTCAAGGTCATTTTTCAGCATACTTTTTTTCAAATTCTCCACTTGAGGATGCAAAAATGTATATCAAATGTGACAATAAAGTGACTAATACTTCACAACTATATGGTACCTCTGATTATATAGTTATGCATGAGTTCACAACAAGAATACACAAGAACATTTTATGAGTGCAATATTCTCATCATATTTGTTTTAACTAGGTTATGGTGATATCATTTGTATGTACATATACTTTCAGGGCTAATAGAGTTTGTTCTAGAAACTAGCCAAAGAGGTTCCAATGAGCCCTTTTTTTTCATTTTTCCAGGTGGGAGAGTGGGGGGTTAAAAGGTGAATTAAAAAAGGTGTTTGAACATATTTGTATAGTGTAGTCAGTGAGGAAACAAAGAGGACTAAGGCACTAGAGTCAGTAATAGGTCATAAAGTTTAAAGTGAATGTTATATTGCAGCTGTCAAACTAGTCATGATTTCAGTGTGGATATTCTCCATACAGTTTTCTGTACTTTCCCTTTGTATCGACCAGGAGAATTTATTTAACAATCAAGAGTTTCTTGATTGGGTGATCGTGAGACTCTGAGACAAATTTTATGTGGTGTTTTTTTAAATTGTGTAAATCACATCAATCTCTGCTCTTGAATAAACTATGGTTTAATGTCTAATCTATTCATTATTTCCCATGCATGCAGGGGTTGCTGATGGAGTGGGTGGATGGCGTCAGTATGGAATTGACTCTTCTCTCTTTTCAAGTGCTCTAATGGAAAGCTGTAAAAGATTTGTGATAGAAGGAGGGCTTGAGACACCATCCCCAATTAATGTTATCAAAGCAGGATTTCAAGAGTTAACAGAGCATAAAGAGCCACTATTTGGTAAATGAAATTTTATGTAAAGTCTTAGGAAGCTTAATTTTTTTCTACCTGGATGAATATTTGTAACATTCTCCCAACCCCCCCCTCCCTTTGCTAAGTACTATATTGCATGTTAAATATATACAATGGATAAACATTGGTGGATAGCATCAAGAGGAATTATTGTAATCCGTGCAGGAATAAGCTAGTTAAAATCATTTTTTTTGTGTGCACTTTTATCTAGCTATTTTAGTTTGTATTAAAACACCTATATTCACCTCAATGTCAATGGTTAGCAGGGTATATTTACCTTGCTGCTTTGAAGCTTGAGAAACATCCACTTTGAGCTGGCCTAAATAGTTAATTATCAATCATGTAATAACCTCTAAATGGGTTTGCATTTAATTTTGTTTTATGCATTATTGAAAGCAATTTCGCTATTAATTTAAGAGGCCACAGCATAGTAATAACATTTCTCAATAGTTAAAAGAGGGGTTAAAAATAGTTACTACAGGAGACTTGACCATTTACCCAAAAAGGGTAGAAAGTTAAAAGCAAGGAAAATAATGGAAGAAGTTACTTCCTTTCTGTCTCAACCAGACTGTCATTCTAGGACACTGTGGAAGTAAAGTCTTTAAATGCCTGTTTCTGGAAGCAAATTTATTTTTAATAACTTCAGTCTTATCAGGTTATTGAAATGTAAGAGTTACATGCAAACATGAATGTTTATTCTTTTTTTAATCTCTTTCATTACTTCTTGCTAAAAATAGGTAGCAGTACTGCTTGTATAATGGTTCTGGACAAGAAAAGCCAGATGCTTCATTCAGCAAATCTTGGAGATTCTGGATTTTTGGTGATCCGCCAAGGTTCAGTTGTGCACCAGTCATCTGAGCAACAACATTACTTCAACACTCCTTATCAGCTGGCAATCCCACCCCCCGGACAAGCTGGAGCTGTCATAGAAGACAGGTTTGCATAAGGAAACTTGCCTGTGTGAATATTGTTGTAATTACTTTGTATAATGGAGCAGTTATGAGTAAAAAGTATTTTTTATAAGAGTAATAATTGTACACTCATTCATTTTCATCATCAATTGAAGGTTTTTCCAAAAAACAAAAGGAGCCATATTACAAGGCAAAATCATGTTTTAAAAGTTAAAAAAAAGTAAAAATCAACATTTTGGTTTGGGTTTCATGTCTTTTTTTCATGTTTTTTCTATGTTTTGAACCAATTTGCCTCAAGAATATTTTAAACTTCAAATGAAGAGGCATGGTGGTAAGCAGAGTAGCTAAACATCCAGCCCACTGGACCTTTTAGATTAGGATATTTGCCAGCCTTGGGTGGGTCATGACACTGTATTCTTCTGCATAACACTTTATCCTTTTACTCTTAGAACAATTACATCTCTCTTTCCACCCAAGATTGTAAACAAATGCAGGCAAACTGTCATGGAAACATGTCAAAATACCCAAGGGGGAAGGGGAGGTGGTGGAAACATTTTTTTGGACAAGCACCCTACCCCTGAAAATACTTGCTTGGTACCTTTAAAAGCTAATATTGATGTTTCTTATTGTAGCTTGGATGCAGCAGAGAGTACTTCCTTCAGTGTTGAACATGGAGATTTAATTGTGTTGGCTACAGATGGCTTGTTTGATAATGTATCAACAGAACAAATACTTGAGCAATTGTCACAACTTGAGGTGTGTTTAGTATGGTGTTCAAAGATAAGTGTACAGGAGATGAAGCTTAGAATGGAAAACAATTTTATGTTATGAGTTTACCATTTTTTTCACAAAGGTAATTTGGTTTTATCAACTGAATTGGTAATTTAAATTGGCCTCTGTGAAGAGTTTTAATTTAGAGCTAATGTTTGGAACATTATCCCTTTGTCAGGGCCAACGAAAAGGTTTAGTCAGCTCAAGAACTTCTGTCCTTTGAGTGAAGTCTTTGTGCACTTCACATGCAGTAACACATACATATATAACTTTATAGCATGGTGGTGCTAATAACTGCAAAGAAAGAAAGTGAAATAAATATAAGTACACTAATATCTAACTGATGTTGATTTAATTTTTCCCTTAATTTTCCTTCAGGACCACAGCACAGAAAGTATACAACACATTACAGACTCACTGGCGAATTTAGCGAGAACCTGTTCATTTGATCCAAATTATTTATCTCCATTTGCCCAGCAAGCTAGAGGTGAAGGTATAAACATCACAGGGGGAAAACCAGATGACATCACAGTCCTTATTGCTGTAGTGTCAGAGATTGGAGAGGACACAGATACCTGATAATAATTCACCTCTCTTTAAAGAAGGAGTGATTGTACTTTTGCTACATCCACCTCTTGTAAAGCAGTGGTGCATTCTCTGGCTCACTCTTTGGTGAGCATTCAGTTATTTCACATACAAATACACCCTGTACACCTATACATCAGTTATTTCTTTAGTACCGCTAATTTTCATTATTGTATTTTCACAATCACGTTAGGGTAAATATTGAATAGCAATTCTATGAGGAGATGTATATAAATAATTGGTTTTTTTTGTTACTCATGTAGTGCATAGTGTAACTTGTAAATCTAGTCTATTTGTGATCTCATTCCACATCTCATCTGCATATCTCTAACCACCTCTTAGTTCACAGTCTTATCATGCCAGCTTTATAAAACAAGAACAGTTGCTTTTTCTGATCTTTTTCATTGTTCTATTTTGGTGGTGAAGGAGAGTTAATTTAGGTCCAATAATTTTACTTATGAAATGTTCAAGGCTTAAAAATATTCTAAGTAATCAAGCCACATGTAAGCAATCATTAAGCATCATGTACTCAGGGGTTTTGATAGGTTTTGAAGAAGACAGCTAAAACTGCAAGGCAAGTGGCTAAAGGAAGGTTGATCTTTACTCTGATATTGTTAGTTTCAGAGAAAATAGATGGCAATTTGCTTCTCATAGAATTTAAATTTTCAGGGTTGCCAACTTGTATTGAAAACCCTGTGTACCATATCTTTGACCAATCTTGATAGTAGAGTTTGTTCCAGTAGATTTTCCCTTTAAGACTTTTCTGCATATTATAAGAAAATCAGGTTTACACATGTGTTTCAGGTACAAAGAAAATTCCAAGTTTTGCAAATTTTTCACAGTAAAACTTACTGTTTGAGGACAAAATGTCAAGTGAATCACAGGTTTTGCTGAAAATTGACTTCAAAAAAATAATTGTGCATTTAGTGGTTATAATTATTATTTGACAAGTTGTGGAGTTTTTGGCAGCTAAGAAAAAGCATAAATGGAAACATTTTTTGTACATAGTAATGGTACATAGCAAGTACAAATTGGTAAATTTTGTAAGTATGAAGATGATTTAACCAAATGCTGTAAGGTTTGGTGCCCAAATCAAAGTGCAACAACTCCCTTAGTGATGATGAACAGCTATGGACAAACTTCTTTTACTATCTTTCCTACCTTTCCTACCTTACCTTTTTCATACACTCTCTAGCAGAACATCATCAAGATTTATAGGAAGTGTCAACTTTGTTATATTCATCAAATAACATTCAAATTCTCATGACTAGTCGAAAAAGAAATATATTTTTTTAATTTTTAACAACCTTGATACTGGTTTTTGAAAGGGTAAAACTATTTGGTTTCCTCAAACAAAGATGAGAAAACACCTGTTCTTTTCCTAGCATTTTCTTTCTGTGGTAAAATCATATCTCTCTCACGTTTGGGCATAAAGCAGCCCTTCTATGCTATAGTTGATTTGGTTCATTAGCTGCCAGTTATGACCATTTCAAGATGACTTATTTTTCCCTGTAACAGAAGTTTGACCATACTTAAAATAACAGAAAGTAATATATTGATCATGTGTAATTGCTTTACTTATAATGTGTGACAGAAACTTCTATAAAATTGCTTGGGGTATAAACTAAGATAGGAGGAATGCACTATGAACACTGTATAATTGTATAACAGACTTTAAGAAGAATTATTAATATGATCTTCAGAGAGAAAGGGTTAATTGATTGAGTGAAAGTACCATTATACTAGCACACTAATGGAACAAAGCATACCAACGATGAATAGAAAATTGGTGAGTCTGCTTTAAGTCTGGTGGTCATGCAGTGATTGTACCTGTGAATTAAATTATTCAGCTGCAGACATTTCTGCCTTTCTTTTTTTCTTTGAGTATAGTCTATAAATTGTAAAGTTTAATTGTAAACAATTCAGGGTGTAAAGTATTAGCTATTGGTATGTATTTACTTTCAATGCATAATTTTGTCGTGCATATCTTGTAATAAAGAAAGTTAATAAATGGTTGTTTGATTTTCTGATCAGATATATGGTCTCCCCCTATCATAGATTGTATCTACCAGAAAAAATCACATGCTTCTGATTGGCTGAAAAGAAGTGCATTTTTCATGTAACATGAGTGCAAAGTTGCAACATGAGTGCAAAATACAAATAGTGCAAGCACGCTTTAAAAATTTGGTCTATCTTGACTTTCTGTCATGTTTTTTCATTTTCATCACATTCATTTTGAAATCACTGGTGATTCTTGAAATCTGACTGGCTCTCATTGGTGCAATCTTTTTGCCAATTGCACCATTTTTTGCTCTAAATTGCATTTTTCTTCCCAGTCAACAAGAAAACTTTACTAAGATACAACAACCAATTGCCTTTGTAAAGAAACTAATCAAATTGCAAGAAAATGAGAAAAGAACTTTGCAACTTTCTCCCAAACCAGCTCACTAGAGGATCAACAAAACATTTTTACAGTAAAGAATCCTGTATCTGATCAAATGAATTTTGTAGTTTCAAAATGGATGTAATAACTCCCTGTTGGGCAATTTTGGTCTGAAATCAAATTACGTTTGTGATTTCCGACCAAATTGCACTCCACTTACCCGGTAGTTCAATTACCGTTATAAACTATTAATAAGTGATAACGTGATTTCGAGTGCAATTTTGTGTTAATAAGCAAGAGTAAATTTTTCGAAGATAAAAAAATTGCATGACCCATGTACTAAACCTTGTGCTCCCCTTACCCCTCCCCACTGCCTCTGGTGTAAGAAAAAACAGACAGGAGGTAGGATAAGTGGGTTAAAATTTTGATAGAGTGGCATGATTCAGACCAAAGTCCAATTGGCTATGACACAATCCAAGTGAAGTCTTCTATTCTCTGCATAAATTTCAGTTTGAATGCCAAAATTAAGAATTTCTCCTGCTTTGCCGGCACCAGCATTAATAGTGCACCTGTCTTGACACTTTACGCCCTATCATGGCTATTCACATTCCCCGCACACCATTCTCTCTATCTTTCCTATGGTATTAACATGGAGAAAGAAATATTTGTTGGCAGTTCGTTTACCTTTCTGAATGTTTGAAAAAAGAAATGCATTCACTTGTTACGTCACTTGAAGAAAGATTGAAAGAAAATGCAAAACTTCACTCAATAAAATTATTGATACGGGCCTTGAAGATTTGTTTGAGGGGTGGAGACGAAGGCCGAGAGTGGGCTTAAAATTACTTAAAATACTTAAACGAGCTGAGGCGAACGAAAAACAGTTGACTTCTTTTCCTTGTAGAGGTAAAAATACAAACACTGTAATAATTATTAAATGTTCCAATGTTCATATTATTTTTTACCTTTGCAAGTAGGTGGTGGGTGGGGTGGGGGGGGGGGGATTTGGAGAATGAAATTGGAGGGGAAGGGCGGGAGAAATACGAGGAGAGGCGGGAATGTAAATACAAATTCCAAATTAATTACATTGAACAAGTCAATTCAATCAATTTGAGGAAAGCTTAAAACAAAATACAAAATTTCTTAAAATAAGCCGCCTTGATTATATACCTAGATAAAACATTGGTGTTAACAACCAATTACAAAAAATACCCTAAAAATACAGCTACTTAAAATTACTTAAAATACTTAAGCCGCCTTGATTATTTACCTTGTTAAAAAAATAAGTGTCAAAAACTAATTACAAAAAAAAAATACTCTAAACTCATGATAGAAATAAGATAATTACAATAAAAAAAATTAGCACTGAACTTATCATAAAAATAATTAAACAATTTCTTGCGAAAGACTGGTAAGGTGTTAGATTCCCTAATGCTGAGAGATAATTCGTTCCATGCGCAACAAACCCAAGTAAAAAAAAGAATTCTTAAAAGTTTCTGTACGGCTAAAGGGACTTCAAGTGTTAAATAATCAATATTTCTCAAGACTGGTTACGAGAACGGAACAATACATTTTCAAAAATATCTAAATCATGTATATTCTTATATAGAGAAAACTCAATCATGAATTACCCTACATTATTGTAAAGGTAATAAATTTAATTTACTTAGGCACTCATATTCAGTGTACTCCTCACCGAAAACAATTCTCGTGGCCCTGCGTTCAATTTAGTCCACTGGTGAAACAAGTGTCACTTCTCCATAACTGTAGTTTCTCTTTAAAAAAAAAACGTAAACTTTTTATCCATTTCAAAGCGATATTTAACAATTTCTTTATAAGTGCGCATTGGATATGAAATGGTAAATAGCCAACGAGGTGCGTGGCGCTGACTTAGCTATAACCAATCTCGTACCAAACAAGCGCGAATGGAATAATTGTTTTATTAAACTTTATTAAAACTTCAGAATATGGATATTTGGAGCGTCTTTCAGCTCCGTAACAGCTGGTGCGATGCATTTTCATGTAAGGTGACTTGGAATATAATCTGATACCAGAGCTAAGTGAACCAATCAGATCACTAGAAATGCAATATCCGGAGTTGAAAACTTAATACTTAACGATAGACAATACTCACACTAATAAGATTGTTGCTTAGCGGGCTCAGTTCAAACAAGTTCAGTAAAAACTCTTTCAAAATCATATAAAGGTTCCTTTTGGCCGCATAAAAACTCGGTTTGTCGCACTTTTTCGTTTGTCATAACACCAAACAATCTAAGGATCGCTCATTCGGTGAGCTAAGGAGCCCGGGTCAAATGCCCCGCACTTTTGGCGACCTAAAATCGCATCTTCCCATTTGTTTTGATCTGTTACCATGGATTTTACTAAATATTGTCGTTTCAACAAAAACCAACCGCTGATAAAACATGGCCGCACATTAGCTGGGGGCCTGGAAAAGACGAAAATAAGTATAATAAAGAGTAGAGCGAAAAACTTTTAACTCAGGTTGTTGGCCTTAAATAAGAGAAAACCACACAAGAAAAAACATTTCTGACTTGAATTATGCAATCATAGTCACACAAGTCTACACTTTCCGTAATTTCGGACTTATGGTCATCACTGGCGCATAGTCGTTCGAACGCGCGCTTATGAAAAAGATCTGATTGTGACGTTTATTCAAAGGAGATCCATTTTTCCGCAAGGAGAGTAAAACTCAAAATGCCTCTCGTAAGATTTTGGCGCGCCTTCATAGAAGCTTTACAAGCGCTGGTATTTTGTGGATTTTGCAATAAAGAAGAAAGGTAAGGCTCAAAACTTGCTAAAAGATTGTTACGTTGTTACCACAGGAAAAAAACTTAAAGCATTTTCTCTTGCTGAGCGGGCCCATCGCGCGCCGAAAAGTGTCTAGCAAAAGTAACTTGAAATTCCACATCTGTTACAATGGTTAACATTTTGTATACAAAAAGATGCATATAAAACATAATCCGACTTTGAAACAAATTAAGTTCTCTTTAAAAAGACACAATCATTTTGCTCACTTCATATTCCACGAGATGTACCTTTCTTCTTCATTCCGCTCAGTATGGCAGAAAGAAAGAAAGATTTGCCTGCACTTCGTTTACCTTTCTGAATGTTTGAAAAAAGAAATGCATTCAGTCGTTACGTCGCTTGAAGAAAGATTGAAACAAAATGCAAAACTTTACTCAGTAAAATTATTGATGCGGGTCTTGAAGATTTGTTTGAGGGGTGGAGACGAAGGCCGAGAGTGGAGGGGAGGAGAGGGGAGAAGAGGGACTGAGAGGGAAGGAGAGGGGAGGGAGGGAACGTAGACGAGCTGAGGCAAACGAATAACAGTTGACTTCTTTTAGTTGTAGAGGTAAAAATATAAACAAATGTGAAGGAGCTGAAGCGAATGAAAAATACAACTGATTTTTTTTCCATTTCAGTGATGAGATAAAAGAGATCGAGAGAACGAACACAAGTAATCAAGGTACGAAGATCTGTTTTGTTTGGGAGAAAAATTCACTTAGAGTACCATTTATTACGGTAGCAATGAATCAGGGTCAGTGCTGATCATTTTGAAAGCAAACCATAAATAAAATTAGGGTCAAAATTGGATTTGTATCATTTTGCAGATGAAACTAACATCAGCAAGTTGGAGGAAGAGAGCAATGATGTGCAAGAGTTTAAAGCCGTGATTGTTGAGGAAGTAAAATGGCTAATGGTTACTGATGAAGATGAGAATGTAAAGGAAGACATTTGGGAAGACATCACTTCCCCTAAGATTCGTGCAAAGGTAACAGCCATTCAAGTAGCGAACATCACAAGAATTGATACTGAGGAAGTAGAAGAGGAAGCCTTTGAACATGACCAGTGGCTGGACGTCAGCGAAGGAGAAGCTAGGGGTGATATTGCCTCAAAAAAGATTCCTCTAGAAGATATCACTGTGTTTGAGGTGGTAGGAAATCTCCAATCGTCAGATGAGGTCGATGCAGAATATGAAACAGAGACTCAACCCACAACTGAACAAGTTCACTCTGTTGGAGTCCAAGAGAGCTGTGAGGACAACAAAGTGGTTTCCAAGGAGATAAAGGTGCTCCGCATTACTTGGGAAGAGCTTCTCTTAGCAGAGAGACACATGGATTCAAAGAAACACGCGGAAGCAGAGATTCAACCCAATAACGAACAAGTTTACTCTGGTGAGAGTCATGACGAGAAAGTTTCTCGAGATACCGAAATGAAAGAAATGGAAACTGCACAAGTCCAAGAGAGCTGTGAGGACAACAAAGACGTTACTAAGGAGATAAAGGTGCTCCGCCTTACTTGGGAAGAGCTTCTCTTAGCAGAGAGACATATGGAGTCGGCTGTTGTGGAAGATTTGAGTTCAGATCAAGTCGAGTCAACAAGATTAACTTTGGCACAAGAAGATCCTGCAATCCAGGCCTTTAAGATCATATCCAATGATAGGTAAGGGCGACTCACCCAGGTGGAAGGGAAATTATAACATCAATTAATTAATTTAGCGTATACCACATGGGTGAATAGTGCTTTTCGTGCGCACTAATTGATTGGTTCGGAAGTGATTAGCAAGTACTATTCACTTTGTAGTAGCTGAAGAGACAAAATCGCGCGTCAGCAATATAATTACCAACAATTTTTGGGAGTACTGACAGAAATAAACTAATCTGTTTGGCTTCTCAATGGTCAAAAATAAGGCTCAGAGGAGTATGGAAATCATTTTCCACAGGAAGAGGTCTAAAGAAAAGAAGAAGCGAAGAAAAAGAAAAAGGAAAGAATCATTAAAAAGTGTGGCTGAAGAGGACCCTGCTATTCTGGATCACAGGGAAATACCTAGCCATGGGTGTGTGATTAACTATAACTACATGATTTACACAAGAAGAAAAATTAAGAAGCCAACTTGCAAAATCTAAGTGTAGAAGAAATAGAATTGGAAGTAATATTTGATGGCAGAACTTTCTGCACATGCCTATACAACAAAGCTTTGGGGGACGATTGCCATTAAATTGAAGAGCGTAGACAGCTTTTAGAGATTTGCTTGTAGTTCTTTTACCCTTCTGGATGTTTGAGAAGAGAAATGTACTCTCTTACTACGTCACTTGATGAAAGACTGAAAGAAAATGCAAAACTTTACTCAGTAAAATTATTCAAGCGGGTCTTGAAGATATATGTGCGGGGCGGAGACGCAGGCCGAGAGTGGAGGAGAAGGGAGGGCAGGGACTGGGAGGGAAGGAAAGTGAATTGAGGGAAAGGAAAGAGGGAGAGAGAGAGAAAGGGGGGGAAGGGCTGAGAGGGAAGGAAAGAGAGGGGAGAGAAAGGGAAGAGAGAGAGAGAGAGAGAGAAAGGGAAAGAGGGGAAATCGCTAAAAATCGTGAGCCCCAAAATGACATTGTTTAATTTGTTACGCTGGATTTGCGTAACATTTCCAATTTGTTGCGCTGGATTTACGTAACATTTCCTGTTTGTGGGTGTTTTTTGCTACTCTCACCCCACACGATTTGAACGTGAATTGTACTGTAAACGTCTTATGTATTAGTACTTCAATATTGTTCATCTGTTAAATCTCTGATGAAGTCTTTGATCAGACGAAACCGGTCGGATAATAAACTAAGTTGACAAGATTGTTGCCGTGTGCTGCTCACTAGTTTTTAAAAAGATAAATAAATTTTAAAAAATTTAAAAAAGGGAGGTAAATGAAATACAACTGATATTTTTCCCTTTCAGCTGTGAGATAAAAGAGATCGAGAGGACGAAAACATGTAACGAAGGTATGAAAAGATCAGTTTTGTTTGAGCGAAAAATTTTTTAAGAGGACGAGTTATTACAGTAACAATGACTCAGGGTCAGTGCGATCATTACACAGCAAACCGAAAGGAAAATTTAGGGCCAAATTGGATTTGTATCATTTTGCAGATGAAACTAACAAGGAAGAGAGCAATGATGTACAAGAGTTTAAAGCCGAGCTTACCGAGGATGTTAAATGGTTTATGGTTACTAAGGAAGATGAAAATGTAAAGGAAGGCATTTGCGAAGACATCACCTCCCCTGAGGTTCATGCAAAGGTAACAGCCATTCAAGAAGCGAACATCCCAAGAATTGAAACTAAGGGAGTAGAAGGGGAAGCCTTAGAACATGACCAGTGGCTGGACGTCACCGAAGGAGAATCTTGGGGTGATATTGTCTCAAGGGAGATTCCTCTAGAGGATATCACTGTGTTTGAGGTGGCGAGAAATCTCCAGTGGTCGGATCAGGTCGATGCAGAATATGAAACAGAGACTCAAGCCACTACCGAACAAGTTCACTCAGTTGAGAGTCATGCCAAGAGAGTTTCTCAAGATACCGAGATGAAAGGAATGGAAACGGCAGAAGTCCAAAAGGGCTGTGAGGATAACAACAAAGTTGCAAAGGAAATAAAGGTGCTCCGCCTTACTTGGGAAGAGCTTCTCTTAACAGAGAGACACATGGAATCAGAGAAACACGTGGAAACAGAGATTCAACGCAATAACGAACAAGTTTACTCTGGTGAGAGTCATGACGAGAAAGTTTCTCGAGATACAGAAATGAAAGAAATGGAAACTGCAGAAGTCCAAGAGACCTGTGAGGACAACAAAGACGTTGCTAAGGAGATAAAGGTGTTCCGCCTTACTTGGGAAGAGCTTCTTTTAGCAGAGAGACACATGGAGTCGGCTGTTGTGGAAGATTTGAGTTCAGATAAAGTCAAGTCAACAAGATTAACTTTGACACCAGAAGATCCTGCAATCCAGGCCTTTAAGATCATATCCAATGATAGGTAAGGGCGACTCACCCAGGTAGAAGGGAAATTACAACATCAATTAATTAATTTATCGTATACCACATGGGTGAATAGTGTGCGTGCTAATTGATTGGTTCGGAAGTGATTAGCAAGTACTATTCACTTTGTAGTAGCTGAAGGGATAAAATCGCGCGTCAGCAATATAATTACCAACAAGTTTTGGGAGTACTGACAGAAATAAACTAATCTCTTTGGCTTCTCAGTGGTACATACTTAAAACAATGATTCACCTCAGAGTCGCAACTCGGTAAATATCAACTCCTATTCACCTCCACCTCGGTAAATAATTATTTAATTTGAAGTATTATTGTGTGTCTCACGATGTTTTGCCACAGATCGGTGGACAAACGAAGAAAAACATTCACTAGACCGTGAGACAAACAATCATTCTTCAAATAGAAAGTGTATTCACCACGATTACAAACCATACCTTTAATCATACTACATTAACTTTCACAGGATGTAAAAATCAGCTTTGCTTTAGACTAGATCAGGCTATAATGCATTTGAGCACAGGCAGAAGGATGTTTATTTCCTTCATAGAAATTACCACAATGATTGACAGTAGCATAAAACAAACATGTAAGAGTTCGAACCTCAGAGTTCGTTTGCTTTTTCAAGCTATAGTTAATTAGAGATCATAGACAGATTCTCAGACAAAAATAAGTCTCAGAGGAGTATGGAAATCATTTTCCACAGGAAGAGGTCTAAAGAAAAGAAGAAACGAAGAAAAGTAAAAAGGAAAGAAACATTAAAAAGTGTGGCCGAAGAAGACTCTGCTATTCTGGATTACAAGGAGATACCCAGCCATGGGTGAGTGAAAGTTTCCTAGACTATGTAATTAACCATTGAACAAGGAAAATTAAGAAGGCAATCTGCAAAATCTACTTGAAGGCAGTTTGCTTAATCCTAACCACAGAATAAAAAACTATTGCAAGCTGTATAGTAAATACAAATCGCAGCAGACAACTTTTAGATAGAATGTATAGATCATGACAATCCAACACTTGATACTTGCAGGGAAAGATCTCAGGTCAAGAGGAGAAAAAGGAAACTAAGAAAGGAAAGAGAAAAAGCACAACAAACATCCACAAGCGTGGCTGAGGAAGACTCAGCCATCGTAAATAAAAATCCATCAAATGTTCCCCACGTCTTAAACTGTACGTGATAAACTACAATGTTAACGTACTTTAAGCACAACTTCTTGTTTGAATACTTTTGCTTGCCGGCACCATTTTCATGCGAAACATCACCACTGTTATTTGGAAAGGATCAAGAAAGCGGACACTTTTCAAACGTTTGTTTAAAAATACACACGAAAAAACTGTATGAAGTATAACCTACTTCCGTAGTTCTTTTCATAAATGGACAAAAAATACGTCCTAAATACGGACGTGTTGTTTAAGATTTAGCGTTCTGAATAAAATTGAATTCTTAGAAGATCTGTTCCGAGCAATCTCTGGTTTTAATACATTTGTGGTTATTACGTGGGCTAAACATACTCTTTAGGCCGCCTTATGCCGTGATTCCTATAACAAACTGGCCAGTTTGGTTGGATGACGCACTTTGCCTGGGTTAGTTAAAAAATGTATTGTAATAATTTTGTTTGAACCAGACTGAACCACTTGTCGCTCTAATGAATGCACATTTTATCTTCTAATCGAGTCAAGTGGATTTAAAAACGCGTTTTCGGACAGTACACTGCAATAACATTTCAGAGAACATATTTCGTTGACTTAAGCTAATAAGACAACAGCCCTTTTTTAATGTTCCGTCGCCTTTGTGGGCCCGAAGTCTTATTTTTAGACCTAAAAGAAAGGAGTAGAAGTACAGGTCTCAGCTCAAAAACCAGTTAATTCTGTTTCGCGCTTGGATTTATGTAGGCAAGACATGTCGACCAAACTACTATGAGCGCAGAGTGCAACTCTTGAGAGAGATTTCCCCGTTAGAGGGGTGTAAGGAAACAGAGCGACTAAGTCGTATCACCAACTCCTCTGAAGCGAAGGATACGTGCTTAATGACGTCCATCGCCTTGAGTTTTAGCGATTTGTCGCCACCAAGGCAGTAGGCTTGCTAGGTCGCCCCAAGTTGCGTCGCGCCGAAGCAGGAGTGCGTTGCTCCCCTCTCGAAGTTGCGTCGCCGCCAACTTTTGACCTAAGTTTGATAAAACCGGCTTTTAAGCGTCTTTTGACATAAATTTTACAGGTTGGAGATTCAACGGCTCGGTTATCAAAATGAAGCAACCTAGCGACTTAGATTCGGGACAACCACAACAAACACAACCAGGGCGACTCCTGCTTTTTTTATTTCCATTCCCTGTTATATGATCTTATATAGCTAACGGCTTTACATATATTATGTTAATACCTAAGATTACATTTTAAAATTTCCAATACACTATTGTTGCACAACCTTTCAAATTATTGTTAACAATCCATGCAACTGTTTTTCTTTAACATTGTCAGAGGGAATATAAAAAGCTTTTTTCAAAAATTCGTCGCTCTCTCAGCTAACTGTTTAGCCCGCGGTATATATCGGACAATTTATTTCTATAAATTGACAAAATTGTTCGTTGTTATCATTTCCTTAATTGTGTCTGTCAGTCTCCTCAGTAATGAGACAACTGACAATTGACATTGAAAGGTGTATGAAAACAAAAATGTATATTTTTTCCTAAATAATTGGCATACATATGGAGTAACATAAACAAAAGGCATTTTTATTTTCAATTGAAAATAACGAAAATTACTGACATGACAAAAAATAAATTTTTCCTCTATGCCCTCAACTCCTTTCCCCTGCATCCTCAACTCCCCCCCCCCCGCACCCCCGAGTAAGGGACCTGTTACAATTCATCACCTACGGAGGGGGGTGGGGGTCGGAGGATTTGGGGGTATCATGTGGTTTTCAAGGGGGGAGGAAGGGGCGGGTCCCTCCTCCCAGGTGATAACAAATGGTCTTTAAGGAGAATCCAAATGTAACCGAAACGCATGAATTGCTTTTTGGGTATAAGTTGTCGCTGACAGAGTGTAAAGGGGGTGACCGCAGAAATTTGACTGCCGGTGAAAGGGAGGGGTTGTCAGAATATTACAGAGCCTCGCAGGGGGGGGGGGGGGAAACAGGTAAATTGAAATTAAATTTCTCCGACCGTCTCTCCTCCCAGGTGATAACAAATGGTCTTTAAGGGGAATCCAAATGTGACCTTAACGCATAAAACTATTTATACCTTGAATACCTCTGAAACTATGAACATCAAGACCTTGTTAAACTCACTGGCCAATTCAGAATAAAGTCATTAGTGTATCTCAGCTAAGCTGGGAATCCTTCCTAATCGGAAAACTTCCGATCCAGGTTGAGTGTCTCCGTCTCATTCTGGAGTATGATTCTATTCGAGAGCAATGACCTATTGCTTGTTGTTTTTGTTTGTTTGTTTTGTGCCATTCTGTGTTTTAACTGAAAAATGTTATCATTCGACCGCTATTGACAAAAATAAATAGCAATTGTAATTCGTCTGTCTTGTCCATCCACTTCTCGGAAAGAGACAAACTTTTAGTGCACAGGGAGTTTACCGTATTAAACGGATTTGCCAAGACAGTTTTATCAGTTCAGAAGTAAAAGGCCTTTTGTTGTCTGAAAGTTTCTCTAAATTGATGAAAATTCCGCAATAGTTCAGGAATTGACTATTCCAGCCAGTCGCTCGGCAATTCTGAAATGAGTGTTGAAAGGAATCTGAGATTGCTAGGTTTTCTCTGCTTTCCTGTGTGATTGGTCCGGAAAACTTGCTCCACTTTCTCAACCAATCAGATGCAAAACTAACCAATCACGACTTGGTCACTCGTATTTTCGCGCGCTTCACTCAAACAGTTCGTTTTGAATTTGAGTTCTAACGGCTCCTGGAGATATCTTCCTTTCATTTCATTGGTGATTATTTTGGTTTTGCTTTCACAATACTCAATCGGCTCTATGGGCAGACACCGTTAGCTTTATCTCCTGGTCTCTACCCTCTCCATTGCCTTGTGATGGTTATTATACGAGAAGTGATTAGTATTGGGTGAACCGCTGTGACATTGAGTAACACAACTACCATGAGACTTCTTCGAATATTTACTATAACTGAGCCCAAAATCTCATTCCTGTTCGTGATTGGTTGGTTTTTCCAGCGTGTGCCAATAAGTGTGTGCTTGGTTGGGGTTTTTCACCATGGCGTACCAGTGCATCATACATGCACTGCACTTCCGGTCGAGTTAATATCCGGTCGGGTTAATATCCATCACAACTCCACCTACGAAAGACATGCTATTGTTTAATATTTCCTTTGACTTAAAGCAATTCTAGAAAGAGTGTCGAAGGAAATGTGGGACTGCAGTGATTTAGCTTCACTGCGCCATTTGATTGGTCAAGAAAACTTGCGCCATCTTCTCATCCAATCAGATGCCAAACTTACCCAATCGAGCCTTGATCACTCGCATTTTCTAGTATTTAAGACCAGGCTGTTATGATTACTCTGGGTTTTTGCTTTGAAGGTAATCGGTCAAGAAGCTCTCTTTACTTTTCAAAGATATGCTAAACTAATTTCCACGGATTTGTCTCCTTGACATAATATGAAAGGGTGTAGCATCCTAGAATTCAAAACCAAATCAAGAATATTCCTCATCTCTTTATGCCACAGGGGAAGAGGGTAAGTGTTACCCACAATGCTTTACCATCTCATGAGTCTGTAAGGTAACTCAATAGAAGCCACTCTAAATCCTCCTGATTCAGCGCAAATGTCAATATGTAAACGGTACAGGAAACCTAAGGTCTTTTATCTATAAAATCGTTACTTTTTCCAACATCATGATTCCAAACCGTTAATTCTAAACTTTTCTTGGCAAGGTCACTGTGCGCGATATCATAAACAAATTCCTGTTGTATAGAGATATCGATGCCATTTTATCAATTGAGTTGATAATTCAAATCGTCGTCAGCCCTGTGCTTATGACAAAGGGCTAACGCTCGAAACGCTTGTGATAAAAACTCCTCTCATTTTCCAGGTATTTTTGTCTCTCTTTCACTATGTCTTTTTGCAAGACATCAACAATCTTTAATCTTCAATCTTTAATACAAATTCCAAATTAGTTACATTGAACAAGTCAATTCAATCAATTTGAGGAAACCTTGAAACAGATTACAAGATTCCTTAAAATAAGCCGCCTTGATTATTTACCTACTTAAAACATTGGTGTTAAAAAAAACAATAACAAAAATACCTTTAAAATAGTTAAGCTACTTAAAATTACTTAAATACTTAAGCCGCCTTGATTATTTACCTTGTTAAAAGATAAGTGTCAAAAACTAATTACAAAAAAAATAATCTAAACTAATGATAGAAATAAGATAATTCCAATACAAAAAATTGGCACTGAACTTATCACAAAAATAATTAAACAATTTCTTGCGAAAGACGGGTAAGGTGTTAAATTCCCTAATGCTGAGAGATACTTCGTTCCATGGGCGACAAACTCAGGTAAAAAAAGAATTCTTAAAAGTTTCTGTACGGCTAAAGGGACTTCAAGTGTTAAATAATCAATATTTCTCAAGACTGGTTACGAGAACGGAACATCCAAATACATTTTCAAAAATATCTAAATCATGTATATTCTTAAGACTTTTAAAAGAGAAAACTAAATCATGAATTACCCTACATTATTGTAAAGGTAATAGATTTAATTTACTTAGGCGCTCATATTCTGTGTACTCCTCACCGAAAATAATTCTCGTGGCCCTGCGTTCAATTTGTTCTAAGTTGGTAATGTTTCTTTTGGTGTAGGGTGACCATACTACACAGGCATAAAGAAAAAGCACATACGAGACAAATCTTATTAAGCTTTTTTAGTCCACTGGTGAAACAAGTGTCACTTCTCCATAACTGTAGTTTCTCTTTAAAAAAAACTAAACTTTTTATCCATTTCAAAGCGATATTTAACAATTTCTTTATAAGTGCGCATTGGATATGAAATGATAAATAGCCAACGAGGTGCGTGGCGCAGACCTAGCTATAGCCAATCTCGTACCAAACAAGCGCGAATGGAATAATTGTTTTATTAAACTTTATTAAATCTTCAGAATTTGGATATTTGGAGCGTCTTTCAGCTCCGCAACAGCTGGTGCAATACATTTTCATGTAAGGTGACTTGGAATATAATCTGATACCAGAGCTAGGTGAACCAATCAGATCACTAGAAATGCAATATCCGGAGTTGAAAACTTAATACTTAACGATAGACAATACTCACCCTAGTAAGATTGTTGCTTAGCGGGCTCAGTTCAAAGAAGTTCAGTAAAAACTATTTCAAAATCATATAAAGGTTCCTTTTAGCTGCATAAAAACTCGGTTTGTTGGACTTTTTCGCTTGTCATAACACCAAACAATCTAAGGATCGCTCATTCGGTGAGCTAAGGAGCCCAGGTCAAATGCCCCGCACATTTCTGACTTGAATTATGCAATCATAGTCACACAAGTCTACACTTTCCGTAATTTCGGACTTATGGTCATCACTGGCGCATAGTCGTTCGAACGCGCGCTTATGAAAAAAATCTGATTGTGACGTTTATTCAAAGGAGATCCATTTTTCCGCAAGGAGAGTAAAACTCAAAATGCCTCTCGTAAGATTTTGGCACGCCTTCATAGAAGCTTTGCAAGCTCTAGTATTTTGTGGATTTTGCAATAAAGAAGAAAGGTAAGGCTCAAAACTTGCTAAAAGATTGTTACGTTGTTACCACAGGAAAAAAGCTTAAAGCATTTTCTCTTGTTGAGCGGGCCGATGGCGCGCCGAAAAATGTCTCGCAAAAGTAACTTGAAATTCCACATCTGTTACATTGGTTAATATTTTGTAAACAAAAAGATGCATGAAGATTTTAGATATATGAAAATTCACATATTTGCACTGCGGTGGAAAGATGAAATTAGAAGATCCTCGCAGCTGAGAACACTACTGAAACTAGTAGTTGTAAGTAGGACCTGAAAAAAATCCCGTACGGGCCTGAAATTTTTTTCAGGTCCTACTTACAACTACTAGTTTCAGTAGTGTTCTCAGCTGCGAGGATCTTCTAATTTCAAAAAGATGCATATAAACCTTTACCTTTCTGAATGTTTGAAAAAAGAAATGTATTCACTCGTTACGTCGCTCGAAGAAAGATTGAAACAAAATGCAAAACTTCACTCAGTAAAATTATTGATGCGGGTCTTGAAGATTTGTTTCAGGGGTGGAAACGAAGGTCGAGAGTGGAAGGAGGAGAGGGGAGGAGAGGGGATTGAGAGGGACGGAGAGGGGAGGGAGGGAATGTAAACGAGCTGAGGCGAACGAAAAACAGTTGACTTCTTTTCCTTGTAGAGGTAAAAATATAAACAAATGTGAAGGAGCTGAAGCGAATGAAAAATTCAACTGATTTTTTTTCCCTTTCAGTGATGAGATAAAAGAGATCGAGAGAACGAACACAAGTAATCAAGGTACGAAGATCTGTTTTGTTTGGGAGAAAAATTCACTTAGAGTACCATTTATTACGGTAGCAATGACTCAGGGTCAGTGCTGATCATTTTGACAGTAAACCATAAATAAAATCAGGGTCAAAATTGGATTTGTATCATTTTGCAGATGAAAATAACATCAGCAAGTTGGAGAAAGAGAGCAATGATGTGCAACAGTTTAAAGCCGAGACTGCTGAGGAAGTAAAATGGTTAATGGTTACTGATGAAGATGAGAATGTAAAGGAAGACATTTGGAAAGACATCACCCTCCTTAAGATTCATGCAAAGGTAACAGCTATTCAAGAAGCGAACATCACAAGAATTGAAACTGAGGAAGTAGAAAAGGAATCCTTTGAACATGACCAGTGGCTGGACGTCACCGAAGGAGAATCTAGGGCTGATATTGCCTCAAAAAAGATTCCTCTAGAAGATATCACTGTGTTTGAGGTGGTGAGAAATCTCCAATCGTCAGATGAGGTCGATGCAGAATATGAAACAGAGACCCGACCCACTACCGAACAAGTTCACTCTGTTGAGAGTCATGCCGAGAAAGTTTCCCGAGATACCGAAATGAAAGAAATGGAAACTGCAGAAGTCCAAGAGAGCTGTGAGGACAACAAAGTGGTTTCCAAGGAGATAAAGGTGCTCCGCCTTACTTGGGAAGAGCTTCCCTTGGCAGAGAGATACATGGAATCAGGGAAACACGCGGAAGCAGAGATTCAACCCAATAACGAACAAGTGCACTCTGGTGAGAGTCATGCCGAGAAAGTTTCTCGAGATACCGAAATGAAAGAAATGGAAACTGCAGAGGTCCAGGAGAGCTGTGAGGACAACAAAGTGGTTTCCAAGGAGATAAAGGTGCTCCGCCTCACTTGGGAAGAGCTTCTCTTAGCAGAGAGACACTTGGAATCAGAGAAAAACGCGGAAGCAGAGATTCAACCCAATAACGAACAAGTGCACTCTGGTGGGAGTCATGCCGAGAAAGTTTGTCAGGATACCGAAATGAAAGAAATGGAAACTGCAGAGGTCCAAGAGAGCTGTGAGGACAACCAGGAAGTTTCCAAGGAGATAAAGGTGCTCCGCCTTACTTGGGAAGAGCTTCTCTTAGCAGAGAGACACATGGAATCAGAGAAACACGCGGAAGCAGAGATTCAACCCAATAACGAACAAGTGCACTCTGGTGAGAGTCATGACGAGAAAGTTTTTCGAGATACCGAAATGAAAGAAATGGAAACTACAGAAGTCCAAAAGAGCTGTGAGGTCAACAAAGAAGTTGCCAAGGAGATAAAGGTGCTCCGCCTTACTTGGGAAGAGCTTCTCCTAGCAGAGAGACACATGGAGTCGGCTGTTGTGGAAGATTTGAGTTCAGATCAAGTCAAGTCAACAAGATTAACTTTGCCACAAGAAGATCCTGCAATCCAGGCGTTTAAGATCATATCCAATGATAGGTAAGGGCGACTCACCCAGGTGGAAGGGAAATTACAACATCAATTAATTAATTTAGCGTATACCACATGGATGAATAATGTGCGTGCTAATTGATTGGTTCAGAAGTGATTAGCAAGTACCATTCACTTTATAGTAGCTGAAGAGACATAATCGCGCGTCAGCAATATAATTACCAACAAGTTTTGGGAGTACTGACAGAAATAAACTAATCTGTTTGGCTTCTCAGTGGTATATACTTAAAACAATGTTTCACCTCAGAGTCGCAACTCGGTAAATATCAACTCCTATTCACCTCCACTGCGGTGAATAGTTATTTGATGTATAAATGTGTCTCACGATGTTTCACTACAGATCGGTGGACAAACGTAGAAAAACATTCACTACACCGTGAGACAAACAATGTTTTTCAAATAGAAAGTGTATTCACTACGATTACAAACCACCACCTTTAATCATACTACATCAACTTCACAGCATGTAAAAATTAATTTAGCTTTAGACTAGATCAGGTTATAATGCATTTGAGTACAGGCAGAAGGATATTCATTTCCTTCATATAAATTACCACAATTATTGACAGTGGCATAAAACAAACATGTAAGTATGCCACTAAACGTAAGAGTTCGTATACTTTTTCAAGCTGCAGTTGATTAGAGATCATGGACAGATTCTTAGACAAAAATAAGGCTCAGAGGAGTATGGAAATTACTTTCCACAGGAAGAGGTCTAAAGAAAAGAAGAGGCGAAGAAAAAGAAAAAGGAAAGAAACGTTCAAAAGTGTGGCTGAAGAGGACCCTGCTATTCTGGATTACAAGGAAATACCTGGCCATTGGTGTGTGATTAACTATAACTACATGATTAAACAAGAACAAGGAAACTAGGAAGCCAACTTGCAAAATCTAAGTGTAGAAGAAATAGAATTGGACGTAATATTTGATGCCAGAACTTTCTGCACATGCCTATACAACAAAGCTTTGATGGACGATTGCCAATAAATTCAAGAGCAAGGGAGAGGGGGGGGCTGAGAGGGAAGAAAAGAGAGGGGAGAGAAAGGGAAGAGAGAGAGAGAGAGAGAGACAGAGAGAGAGACAGAGAGGGGAGGGGAAGGGGCTGAGTGGGAAGGAAAGAGAGGGGAGAGAAAGGGAAGAGAGACAGAGACAGAGAGAAAGGGAAAGAGCGGGAAATCGTTAAAAATCGTGAGGCCAACTTGCAAAATCTAAGTGTAGAAGAAATAGAATTGGACGTAATATTTGATGCCAGAACTTTCTGCACATGCCTATACAGCAAAGCTTTGAGGGACGATTGCCAATAAATTCAAGAGCGTAGACAGCCTTTAGAGAGAGAGGGAGAGGGGGTGGCTGAGAGGGAAGAAAAGAGAGGGGAGAGAAAGGGAAGAGAGAGAGAGAGAGAGAGAGAGAGAGACAGAGAGGGGAGGGGAAGGGGCTGAGTGGGAAGGAAAGAGAGGGGAGAGAAAGGGAAGAGAGAGAGAGAGAGAGAGAGAGAGAGAGAGAGAGAGAGAGAGAAAGGGAAAGAGCGGGAAATCGTTAAAAATTGTGAGCCCCAAAATAAACAAATGTTTAATTTGTTACGCTGGATTTGCGTAACATTTCCAACTTGTTGCGCAGGATTCACGTAACATTTCCTGTTTGTGGGTGTTTTTTGCTATTCTCACCCCACACGATTTGAACGTGATTTGTATTGTAAACGCCTAGTTTATTAGTAGGTTAATTTTGTTCATCGATTAAATCCCTGATGAAGTCTGTGATCAGAGGAAACCGGTCGGATAATAAACTTAGTTGACAAGATTGTTGCCGTGTGCTGCTCACTAGTTTTTCTTTTAAAAAAAATTAATTAAAAAAATTTAAAAAAAGGGAGGTAAATGAAATACAACTGATATTTTTCCCTTTCAGCTGTGAGATAAAAGAGATCGAGAAGACGAAAACATGTAACGAAGGTATGAAAAGATCAGTTTTTTCTGGGAGAAAATTTTTCCAAGAGGACGAGTTATTACAGTAACAATGACTCAGGGTCAGTGCGATCATTAAACAGCGAACCGAAAAGAAAATTTAGGGCCAAAATTGGATTTGTATCATTTTTCAGATGAAACTAACAACAGCAAATTAGAGGAAGAGAGCAATGATGTGCAAGAGTTTAAAGCCGAGCTTACCGAGGATGTTAAATGGTTTATGGTTACTAAAGAAGATGAGAATGTAGAGGAAGGCATTTGCGAAGACATCACCTCCCCTGAGATTCATGCAAAGGTAACAGCCATTCAAGAAGCGAACATCACAAGAATTGAAACTAAGGAAGTAGAAGAGGAAGCCTTTGAACATGACCAGTGGCTGGACGTCATCGAAGGAGAATCTTGGGGTGATATTGTCTCAAGGGAGATTCCTCTAGAGGATATCACTGTGTTTGAAGTGGCGAGAAATCTCCAGTGGTTGGATCAGGTCGATGCAGAATATGAAATAGAGACTCAAGCCACTACCAAACAAGTTCACTCAGTTGAGAGTCATGCCAAGAAAGTTTCTCAATATACCGGGATGAAAGGAATGAAAACGGTCCAAAAGGGCTGTGAAGATAACAACAAAGTTGCAAAGGAGATAAAGAAACTCCACCTTACTTGGGAAGGTCTCCTGTTACCAACGAATCACATGGAAACAGGGAGTCAACCCACTACCGAGCACGTTCACTCTGTTGGGAATCATACCAAGAAAGTTTCTCGTGATACCGAAATGAAAGAAATGGAAACTGCGGAAGTCCAAGAGAGCTGTGAGGACACCAAAGTGGTTTCCAAGGAGATAAAGGTGCTCCGTCTTAGTTGGGAAGAGCTTCTCTTAGCAGAGAGACACATGGAATCAAAGAAACACGCGGAAGCAGAGATTCAACCCAATAACGAACAAGTTCACTCTGGTGAGAGTCATGACGAGAAAGTTTCTCGAGATACCGAAATGAAAGAAATGGAAACTGCAGAAGTCCAAGAGACCTCTGAGGACAACAAAGAAGTTACTAAGGAGATAAAGGTGCTCCGCCTTACTTGGGAAGAGCTTCTCTTAGCAGAGAGACATATGGAGTCGGCTGTTGTGGAAGATTTGAGTTCAGATCAAGTCAAGTCAACAAGATTAACTTTGACACCAGAAGATCCTGCAATCCAGGCCTTTAAGATCATATCCAATGATAGGTAAGGGCGACTCACCCAGGTAGAAGGGAAATTACAACATCAATTAATTAATTTAGCGTATACCACATGGGTGAATAGTGCTTTTCGCGCGCGCTAATTGATTGGTTCGGAAGTGATTAGCAAGTACTATTCACTTTGTAGTAGCTGAAGAGACAAAATCGCGCGTCAGCAATATAATTACCAACAATTTTTGGGGGCACTGACAGAAATAAACTAATCTCTTTGGCTTCTCAGTGGTACATACTTAAAACAATGATTCACCTCAGAGTCGCAACTCGGTAAATATCAACTCCTATTGACCTCTACTTCGGTAAATAATTATTTAATTTGAAGTATTATTGTGTGTCTCACGATGTTTTACTACAGATCGGTGGACAAACGAAGAAAAACATTCACTAGACCGTGAGACATACAATCATTCTTCAAATAGAAAGTGTATTCACCACGATTACAAACCACCACATTTAATCATAATACATTAAATTTCACAGGATGTAAAAATCAGCTTTGCTTTAGACTAGATCAGGCTATAATGCATTTGAGCACAGGCAGAAGGATGTTCATTTCCTTCATAGAAATTACCACAATGATTGACAGTGGCATAAAACAAACATGTAAGAGTTCGAACTTCAGAGTTCGTTTGCTTTTTCAAGCTATAGTTTATTAGAGATCTAATCAAAAATAAGTCTCAGAGGAGTATGGAAATCATTTTCCACAGGAAGAGGTCCAAAGAAAAGAAGAAACGAAGTAAAGTAAAAAGGAAAGAAACATTAAAAAGTGTGGCCGAAGAAGACTCTGCTATTCTGGATTACAAGGAGATACCCAGCCATTGGTGAGTGAAAGTTTCCTGGACTATGTAATTAACCATTAAACAGGGAAAATTAAGAAGCCAATCTGAAAAATCTACTTCAAGGCAGTTTGCACAATCCTAACCACAGAATAAAAACTATTGCAAGCTGTATAGTAAATACAAATCGCAGCAGATAACTTTTAGATAGAATGTATAAATCATGACAATCAAACACTTGATACTTGCAGGGAAAGATCTCAGGTCAAGAGGAGAAAAAGGAAATTAAGAAAGGGAAGAGAAAAAGCACAACAAACAGCCCCAAGCGTGGCTGAGGAAGACCCTGCTATCGTAAATAAAAATCCATCAAATGTTCCTCACGTCTTAAACTGTGATAAACTACAATGTTAACTTACTTAAAGCACAACTTCTTGTTTGCATACTTTTGCTTGCCAGCACTATTTTAATGCGAAACATCACCACTGTAGTTTGGAAAGGATCAAGAAAGCGGAGACTTTTCAAACATTTGTTTAAAAATACACATGAAAAAACTGTATGAAGTATAACCTACTTCTGTAGTTCTTTTCATAAATTGACAAAAAATACGTCCTTAATACGGACGTGTTGTTTAAGATTTAGCGTTCTGAATAAAATTGAATTCTTAGAAGATCTGTTCCAAGCAATCTCTGTTTTTTATACATTTGTGGTTATTACGTGCGCTAAACATACTCTTTAGGCCGCCTTATGCCGTCATTCCTATAGCAGACTGGCCAGTTTGGTTGGATGAAACACTTTGCCTGGGTTAGTGGAAAAATGTGTTGTAATAATTTTGGTTGAACCAGACTGAACCACTTGTCGCTCTAATGAATGCACATTTTATCTTCTAATCGAGTCAAGTGGATTTAAAAACGCGTTTTCGGACAGTACACTGCAATAACATTTCAGAGAACATATTTCGTTGACTTAAGCTAATAAGACAACAGCCCTTTTTTAATGTTCCGTCGCCTTTGTGGGCCCGAAGTCTTATTTTTAGACCTAAAAGAAAGGAGTAGAAGTACAGGTCTCAGCTCAAAAACCAGTTAATTCTGTTTCGCGCTTGGATTTATGTAGGCAAGACGTGTCGACCTAACTACTATGAGCGCAGAGTGCAACTCTTGAAAGAGAGTTCCCCGTTAGAGGGGTGGAAGGAAACAGAGCGACTAAGTCGTATCACCAACTCCTCTCAAGCGAAGGATACCGTGCTCAATGACGTCCATCGCCTCGAGTGTTAGCGATTTATTCGCCTCCAAGGCAGTAGGCTTGCTAGGTCGCCCCAAGCTGCATCGCCCCGAAGCAGGAGTGCGTTGCCCCCCTCTCGAAGTTGCGTCGCCGCCAACTTTTGACCTAAGTTTGATAAAACCGGCTTTTAAACGTATTTTGACATAAAGTTTACAGGTTGGAGATTCAACGGCTCGGTTATCAAAATGAAGCAACCTAGCGACTTAGATTCGGGACTACCACAACAAACACAACCAGGGTGACTCCTACTTTTTTTATTTCCATTCCCTGTTATAAGGTCTTATATAGCTAACGGCTTTACATATATTATGTTAATACCTAACATTACATTTTAAAATTTCCAATACACTGTTGTTGCACAACCTTTCAAATTATTGTTAACAATCTATGCAACTGTTTTTCTTTTACACTGTCAGAGGGAATATAAAAAGCTTTTTTCAAAAATTCGTCGCTCTCTCAGCTAACTGTTTAGCCCGCGGTATATATCGGACAATTTGTTTCTATAAATTGACAAAATTGTTCTTTGTTATCATTTCCTTAATTTTGTCTGTCAGTCTCCTCAGTAATGAGACAACTGACAATTGACATTGAAAGGTGTATGAAAACAAAAATGTATATTTTTTCCTAAATAATGCGGCATACATATAGAGTAACATAAACAAAAGGCATTTTTATTTTTAATTGAAAATAACGAAAATTACTGACATGACAAAAAATAAATTTTTCCCCTATGCCCTCAACTCCTTCCCCCTGCACCCTCAACTCCCCCCCCACCCCCGAGCAAGGGACCTGTTACTATTCATCACCTACGGAGGGGGGTGGGGGTCGGAGGATTTGGGGGTATCACGTGGTTTTCAAGGGGGGAGGGGGGCGGGAAAAGTCGTCGCTGACAAAGTGTAAAGGGGGGTGACCGAAGAAATTTGACTGCCAGTAAAAGGGGGGGGGATACAGAGCCTCGGAGGGGGGGAAAACAGGTAATTTTAAATTAAATTTCTCCGACCCCTTACCGTCCCTCCTCCCAGGTGATAACAAATGGTCTTTAAGGAGAATCCAAGTGTGACCTTAACGCATGAAATTATTTATACCTTGAATACCTCTGAAACTAGGAACATAGTAACCTTGTTAAACTATGTGGCCAATTCAGAGTAAAGTCTTAAGCGTATCTCAACTAAGCTGGGAATCCTTTCTAATCAGGAACATTTTCGATCCAAGTTGAGTGTCTCCGTCTCATTCTGGAATATGATTCTATTTCGGAGCAATGACCTATCCACAGATTCTCTCAAAATTTCTAAGGAAAGTGTTCATCTTGTTTGCTTGTTGTTTTAGTTTATTTGTTTTGTGCCATTCTGTGTTTTAACTAAAAAATGTTATAATTCAACCGCCATTAACAAAAATAAATAGCAATTATAATTCGTCTGTCTTGTCTATCCACTTCTCGGAAAGAGACAAACTTTTACTGCACAGGGAGTTTACCATATTAAACGGATTTGCCTAGACAGTTTTATCTGTTCAAAAGTTAAAGTCCCTTTTTCGTCCGAAAGTTTCTCTAATTTGATGAAAATTCGGTGATAGTTCAGGAATTGACTATTCCCGCCAGCCGTTCCGCAATTCTCAAATGAGTGTTGAAAGTAATCTGGGATTGCTAGACTCGCTCTGCTTCCCTCTGTGATAGGAAAACTTGCTCCACTTTCTCAACCAATCAGATGCAAAACTAAAACCAATCACGACTTGGTCACTCGCATTTTTGCACTTCACTCGAACAGTTCGTTTTAAATTTGAGTTCTTATCGGATCCTGGAGATATCTTCCTTTCATTTCATTGGTGATTATTTTGGTTTTTTCTTTCACAACACTCAGTCGAAAACAGCTCTATGGGCAGGCACCGTTAGCTTTAACTCCTGGTCTCTCCACTGTATATCGCAAAGTGATGGTTATCGTATGAGAAGTGATTAGTATAGGGTGAACCGCTGTGATATTGAGTAACACAACTGACATGAGACTTCTTCGAATATTTATTACAACTAAGCCCAACATCTTATTCCAGTTCGTGATCGGTTAGTTTTTCCAGCGTGTGCCAATAAGTGTGTGCTTGGTTTGGGTTTTCCAGAATGGCGGACCTGTGCATCAATGGACTTCCGGTTAAGTTAATTAAGTTAACTCCACCTAGAAAGAGAGTCGAAGGAAATGTAGGATTGCAGTGGTTTAGCTTCATCGCACCGTTTGATTGGTCTAGAAAACTCGCGCCACCGTCTCATCCAATCAGATACCAAACTTTACCAATCGAGCCTTGATCACTCGCATTTTCTAGCATTTAAGGCCAGCTTCCTGCACTTACTTTGTATACCATGGGCTCCCTGTGAAAGCTACCTTTGTCCTGACTGGCTGTTGTGATTACTTTGGGTGTTTGTTTTGAAGGTAATCGGTCAAGAATCTCTCTTTACTTTTCAAAGATATTCTGAACTAATTTCCACGGATTTGTCTCCTTGACATAATAGGGGAGGGTGTAGCATTCTAGAATTCAAAATCAAATCAGGAATATTCCTCATCTCTTTATGCCACAGGGGAAGAGGGTAAGTGTTACCCACAATGCTAAGAGGATAAAAAACTGTATGCTTCACTTATAGGTGTGATATAGTTTATTGTGCCACAATGCACAATTACATATTGTGTTATTAAATAAATATAACGTTCAGTGGAGTTAGATTTAGCATACAATAAATGAGTTTATCAAATGAGCTTCTAAACTTAGACTTGGTAGCCACATGGTACAATGTAGTGAAGAACAGCTAGTCCTGTTGACTTGAATACATGTTTGATGTTCATAGCATTTTGACAGTCTTGGTTATCCGTCTTTGACATTTGGCATTTACAGTTTTGAATGAATTTATGTACTGGAAATGGTCAATGACACCACCTGAAGGCAAGTACATTGTACACGTGGATACATGATGGTCAATTCTGTAAAAATAATAAAAATAATTAAAATATGCAATTCAGGTCATTGAACAATTATGACAATATTATTTTTGTAAATGCATTTAAATTTATTGTTGAATTTTTTTCTAACTACACTCTACATGTACAATGCAAGGTCTATCAATGAGTACCTGATGTTTTTTGAGCAAAATTAATGTTTCAATCAACATAAAGTTTTTTATTTTATTATTATTTTTTTAATTTTAAAGGATAAAACAGTGGAAGCTGGTAAATATGGAAAACAAAGGGGCATGAAATACTGTATTAAGCTGGATGATGAAGGAGAAAATTGCTGTCACCAGGACAAATGAAACTGTCCAGAAAAGCAGGTACCCACTGTATGTGAAACCTATGGTGCATACTGTACATGATGTGTACAGTTTACACACCATGTACAGTATGTGGGTCAAAGAAGGCTGATCACTTACCTTTTAAGACTGTCTACTAATTAAAATTATGGGTTGTTTAACATCCCTAAGAAGAAACATGGACTCATATGAAGAAATATAATATACTGAATAAAAACTCAAAATGCATGCTGTTTTGATGGTAACTTTTTCTTGGTTAGCATCATGAAGGCAATCAAGAGAATTAAATATTTAAGTTAGTATTACATGTACATGTATTGGTACATTCAAATCTAGTCTTCAGTACAGACAATACAAAGAGAATGTTGTTATGCACAATTGTTTTGGTCCTTGTGGAACATTTCCTCTTAATTGAACCCTCTTGAAACAGGGACTTGTTAATATGACAACAACTACTTTTTTCTTGTGCAACTTAATTACACTTTGCCATACAAAGTAAATTAACCTTGAAAATATTACAGGCAGTATAACAGTTGCATGCTTTACATAATCTTGTCACAGTTCAGTATTAATGTGACTATTCATTGTATTATCACTAACAATATTAATAAGAATGATAAAATGCAACAGATGCATTATTTATGAGCTTAAAGATTGACTGTACTGTCCAATTCCATTAATTTGCCATGTTGCAAGGCGTAAAAGACACGTAAACCTGACATCATTTGCATAATCCACTTAATATAGACACCATGTCAATACGAACACCTTACACGATGCTCTCAGGGTGCATATCAACAGGTGTTGACGGCAGCTGATTTAATAATGTTACTTTTCATTAACTGTTTCA